ATGTAATCACTAGCACTTTCACAGCCACAATGTATCCTCCTTTGTACTCAGTGACCTAAAACCAGTCAAAACAAGGATATGATCAACTAATATTACCAAAAAACTTTCTGGTATTGCAATGTTAAGAATTGCGAAACGATTATCAAGTATCAGGGGAAAAACATAACAAAACGTAACATAAAAAAAGATTTCACTTAGTTATTTAAAAAAAAAAGTTAAAATAGTTACTGGTGTCCCAAATTCAGCCCCCACTTGTCCCTCTCTGCCACCCCATTTGCCACCATGAGCCCCCAAGTTGTCCCTCTCTGTTCTCCTTTTGGTTGGAGTGACCGACGTAAATACTTGTACAGATAAATTGTCACATGACCATTCTAAGGAAATACATACCTAAATGCATTTAGATATATGAAAACATTAGCAAGTGAAGTAGGTTAATTGGTTCTTAATCTGTCAGCACGTTTCATTTTCTAGAGAAGGAAACAATGGCTTTTGACAAAGCATGGGAGGTGGGGCCAGCTGTATTGGCTTACAGCAGAATAAACTGAGCTTCACTGGGTGATAGTTACTCACACAATTAAAGAGACATTCCAAGAACAATATCAACTCACAATGCATTATATAAATCATCCAGAGTGAAGGGATTTAAAGGAAGACTTCAGGCACCATAACTATTTCATTGGGATTGAGGTTTACCTCAAGGGATCAAACCGTTAAATGTTTTAATCTCAAAGTCTTGAATCCGGTATCCGATTGCTCTGCCCACGCACCCCTGTCTGAGGCTTGAATCACAATGTCTTGGACAGGTAGGTGGAAAGCTGATTCCTGGAAAACGTTTGCAGTGTGGCAGGGTGCATTATCCTACTGAGAGGCCACTGCCATCAGGGAACACCATTGCCATGAAGGGGTGTACGTGGTCTGCAACAACCTTTAGGTAGGGGGCACATGTCAGAGTAGCACCCACATGAATGCCAGGACCCAAGATTTCTCAGCTGAACATTACCCAGAGCAACGGACTGGATTTCCCACAGTACGCACCCACCAACAGGTACCTGTCCACTAGAATGCATCGGTTTCCAGCACTTATAATTTGCATTATTGAGCTAATACAGGATGGTGGGAAGACAAGTACCAGGAGCCTTGTTCGGTGTCCTCTGTAGTCCAGTCAGCCTTAAAGGAACATGTATTCCTGACCCTATAGTGAAAACCCTCCATTTTGGTGGCTTGCCCCTCCTTAGCCCTCTCAGAATGGGTTAAAACACCTTATTCTAAGCTCTCCACGGGTCTGCCGGCACTGGCCCGCCCCCATGGTGACATCATCAGAATTGCCGGTTTTTAAGCCAATCCAATGCTTTCCCCTGGGGAAAGCATTAGATTGGCTAAAATTGGCAAGGGGGCAGGGCCAAATGACCAAATTTGGCCAATCAGCACCTCCTCATTGAGATGCATTGAATCAATGCATCTCTATGAGGAAAATTCAGCAGCCACATGCAGAGCGTGGGGGCGCTGAACGGCAGGGCTGCCTACTGTGCAGCACTGAGCCAGGAAGCCCCTCCATCTGAGGAGTGGCCACTTGGAGGTTTACCTAGGGGGCAATGTAAACACTGCCTTTTCTCTGAAAAAGCAGTGATTGCATGAAAATGCCTGAAGGCAATGATTATACTTACCAGAAGTCTAACGCGTGCATTGTGAAATGATCTGCAGGATGGTAAAAGCGTTCTAACCTAAAATTAATTTCCTGAGATTTAATGCACAGTGACTTGCCCATGGCACAGAAAAAAAGTAATAGGAAATGGCTCAGAGCAGAATGAAATAGACGATATGTCAGGAAATCTGTTAAAGGACCACTATAGTGCCAGGAAAACATACTCGTTTTCCTGGCACTATAGTGCCCTGAGGATGCCCCCACCCTCAGGGTCCCCCTCCCGCCGGGCTCTGGGGAGAGGAAAGGGTTAAAACTTACCTTTTTTCCAGCGCTGGGCGGAGAGCTTTCCTCCTCCTCTCCACCTCCGATCCTCCTCTTTGGCTGAATGCGCACGCGCGGCAAGAGCTGCGCGTGCATTCAGCCGGTCTCATAGGAAAGCATTCACAATGGTTTCCTATGGACGCTTGCGTGTTCTCACTGTGATTTTCATAGTGAGAATCACGCAAACGCCTCTAGCGGCTGTCAATGAGACAGCCACTAGAGGATTTGGAGGCTGGATTAACCCTATTATAAACATAGCAGTTTCTCTGAAACTGCTATGTTTATAAAAAAAAGGGTTAATCCTAGAGGGACCTGCCACCCAGACCACTTCATTAAGCTGAAGTGGTCTGGGTGCCTAGAGTGGTCCTTTAAGCTGAAGACGAGTCAGCATCATCCGTGCAGCAATGGCTTCCTCCGACCTAGAGAATGGCTTGGAATAACGAGTAATATTCTGGAGAGGCAAGAGACAGCGGATGACTGGAGATATGAGGTCATTCTTTCTTTCAAGGCCATGCGAAATGTCTAATCGTGAAACAATAAAAAATGTTGATGAGGGTTTAACCCTTTCTATATAGCATGGTTAAAGTATTGTTTGTTTAGGTATTGGCACCAGTGGATATCGTAGGTGCCAAATGATAAAACCTCTGCCTAACTTTACTCCAGAGTTTGGGCAGATGTCTTTTAAAAGTATGTTTTGAAGTGGTTGTGGTCATGCCTGGACTAAAACCTTCTACAATTCCCAAAGGGAAACTGACCACAACATCGCATGGAAGAAGTGGTTGTGACTAGGTCATTCCATGGCTAAGTCCCCATCGTTGGTTTCCAGTTTGAATATCGATTTCGAGCTATAAACATGGTTCAACTTCCAACAACGGTCTTAAAATGACACTCCACAGCCCAAATACAAAAACACACAAAAATGAATAACATTTAAAAAAATAAAATATTTAGTACATATACCCCAAATGAAAACCTACATGGATTTAATTATGCATTTTTTCAATGTGGGTAAATGTAAATACAGCTTGCAAAGGTTCCAGATTTCTACTCTGCAGCCTTTACAAGCCCTCCCCTTCTAACCCCGCCCAGACTTTCTGTGGCTGTCCAATCACAGACTTCCCATTGCAGTTTAATGAGAAGTCTTTGCAAGGCAGGTGCTCTGGGCAATTGCTGCCTCTTAAGTTTATCTAACGAAAACAGGAAGTAACAGAACATGTTGTCTGCTTAAAAAAAGCAAGGCGGTGTAACCAGGTTAATTTGTAAAAGTGTCAATTTCTATCGCAATCTGCACTTTTTGGAAAATTAAACAGACGGCACACTGTGCTGGATGAACCACATTCACAGACAGATGGTGGCCAATTCTGTTGAATTTTAGCATTCAGTTCCGTATTTTTACAATTTGGTGTCAGATTTCATCATGCAGCTATATCTGACTAGTTATTTCTTTCTAATTTTGTATTCCTGGCAATTCACATTTTAGAGAATAACTCTGAAGAACATGTTTAAAGTAATACCATTTATTTCCACCTTTGAAATAGTTTATTTCTTGAAATCTGTAAGCAGTGATGGCGTCAATGGAACCCTACATTTTTCTACTACTCCCGTTCCAATTCTAGCCTTCAAGCTCCAGATCCCAAATTGTTGCAGGTTGTGCTCACGGCAGGGTTTCAATAGATCTGGCAGTTGCTTATTGTCAAGTGGTAATGTCCTTAATAGTATATCATGTTGTATAAATCCAAAGCTATTAGCTATTCACCCTAAAGGTAGATCCCCAGCTGTTGAAGAACTACATATTCTATAATGCTGTTCAGCTTTAATGATGGCAAAGCATCATGGGACCTATACCTTTGTAACCCCTGATGTATGACCACTAGTGCACAATAGCCAAGTGTGTTTTTACAGGAAGAACTACAATAGAGGTTTACTCTCAAAACCTTGAATTGTGCAGAATTGAAAAATAAGGCAATTGCAATTTTAAATGCCAAAACTGACAAAATATCCTCTAATTCTAAATTAATTAATTTTTTCCCAGCTTTGGCTTAAACGTTGCACTTCCTAGAGAATGCCACACAATTCCGACAAACTTCATTATGAAATGACACAAAATTGACAGTTCTTCTTTAAGATCCTATATGCTCACACAACAGATATCAAGATATACATTACATGGTTCATTAAAGTACACTGCCAGTTGTAAGGGTGTAATAGGGCAGACTAGTTATGCTGCAGTGGCATTTGCAGCGTCCTTGAACTTTGGTCTCAGATTTTACATGAAGTTATTTAAAGACATGGTGCCTTGTGTTAGACACAGCATGGATTTATGAATCTGCATGGATAATTATTCTCACAACATTTTTCCCCCCAGAAACATTCCAGAAAAAGGGTTTGTTTTTGTTTTTTTAAATCACGTAAAATAAAATTTGTTGTTGAATTCTTAAAAAAAAATTGCATACTATTATTAGAAAGTTTAGACTATTCATTTTAATTGTATTGCAGTTTTTATAGATAACAGAGTGACAGGAGTCATAGGTTTAATAAAAACCGTAAGTAGCACACACGCCCTACAAAGTAATATAATAAATGTAATATATCACATAGCAGCTGTGGTGAGGTGCAACATTTGTGAAAAAAGTCTTAGATCAGTGTTACAGACCCTGATCAAGATAGATACAGATAATAACAAAATGCGTCAGCAGATCAGCAATATGTATATAACAGATGAGGGGGAAGCTTTGCAAGATGCACGTGATTAGGGATTCAGAATTCCAAGCTACATAATTCTATTTATTGCTAAGATTATACATTTCTATTCATTACAAGAGGATTGGATCTCCCTTTCAACATAAAGGGATACATTAAAAAAAAAAAAATCTTCTTATATTTATCTTGCTGTATATTAACCTATTTCAAACTTATCTAAATATACATATATTATAATATACATTCCTGTAAAAAAAAAGAAAAAGAATATTTAAGAATCTTGATACAAAGTTAAAAACTGCAAATTATATACATATTAAAAAACTGTCCTATATTAAAAAGGAATTTTATCCTGCATAGGTGCTACTTTTTAAATTACCTATAAAATTGTGTATTACTGCTTTTACACTAAAAACTAATTGCTGTATAATTGCTTAATGTTCTGTATATAATAAAGCTATTACCTCGTTTCGTAAAAAACAACATATTTTATTGCAGATTGGTAAACAAATAAATTAAATTGTAGTTGTTACACTACCGATCATACACAACACCCACAGACTTCACAGTATGTTACAAGGTAGATGTTCACATTTAGGTGATAGTAATACAGCACTCGGGAATCTAAAAAAAATAATAGATATAGCCATACATAGTGTAATGTGCATAAATAACAGTGGAATGTATGTATCTTTGAAAGAGAACCAAGTTTGTACTCCAGACACCCCCGTCCTCATGAAGAAGCACTCCCAAAATGACATAAATAGGTTGGCATAACTTGGTGCAAACTTGGTTCCCATCGCAATACCCAGTATTGGAACCTTGAAGCTGATTATATAGAGCCTGACACTGCTCTGCACTTGTGAGTGTAACTATACCATTGTATGTTTCCATTGTCATTTATACAGATTACACCATGTATGGCTATATCTATTTTTTTGTAGATTCCAGAGTGCTTTATTACTATCACCTCTATGTGGACATCTACCTTGTAACATACTGTGAAGTATATTCAATCTTCTATTTAGTACCGGGTGTTGTGTATGATAGGTAGTGTAACAACTACAATTTCATTTATTTACATGTATGTTAAGGTGATTTGGGAAATACCTAAAGTCATATACACACCTATTGTATTATTTTGAAGCGCCTCTACACCTACTGGTTTAAAGTGTTATTTGTTGTGATATTGGTAAACTAGATTTTGGAAGATTATATCCCAAAATGCTCCTTCTAAACAAGAAGCAGAAAATCGTTGAAGTGCGCAAGTCTCTGCTATAGACTATTATGCACTGTATTACACCCCAAACTGTCCCAAATTCAAATAGACTGTCCCTATTTTATGGCTTCTTGCAACACAAGAGTGTGATTACATGCAGAAATCAGGGGATTCTGAATATTCTAGAAGGCTTTCTGAAGCATCTTAAATCGGCTCTGTCATTATAGATACTGTTTGCCCCCTGCCTTCCAATGGCTCCCTCAAATATTTGTATGGTCCGAAGAAGCACGAGTCCCTCTTTTAACATCACAGGGGAAAGTGGAAGTCTTATAGCTGCAGTTATACACAAACGATGTGCAAGGAGGCCAGGACAAAGTACCTCTTACTACCACAACTAATAAAACGAGCTGTGGTTTTTGCATGTTTTTGGAGATACCCTTTAATTTTCTGGAACCTTTATGAAATTTCAGATGCTTTTGGAAAATATTCACAGCATTAAATGTATCCATATACTTATATGTGTAGCCACTTGACATGCTCCTGTGATGGGCCAAATGTCTAAAAAACTGCCGAAGGAATTATAGTACAGCGTAGTTACAGATCCAGAGTTCAGCCATCCCCAGTATAGATGCACAAACGTGTATGCACGTAGCCACAACTTTAATCCAAAAATGACTTAATTTAAGTATTAACATCTGCTAGCTCTGTCCAGAACTTTCGAAACAATAAAATTACGTAACAGGCTATAGAATGTGATATACCCAATTATAAGAAGATTACCATAACGCTCTGCTGATTATCCTTGCTCAAGCTCCATGTGCAGAATATAACGAGAATAAAATATGCTTTTTTTTAATGCCGAGTAGCTCAGTGAGAATGAAGTGGCCCCTGTGTGATAAGACAGTGGTTATTGCTCCAACTGTAGTATATCCATTACATTTTCACCACCACAAGTTCGAATTTTCGAATGGTCCACCTAGTCTTTTAAGTAACATTCTGGTGGCTAATAACAAGATTCCAGAAATTATTTTAACTGGCACATCTGCAATTTTCCCTTATAGGTTAAATAATCTTGTATCATAATTCACTTCAGTAATGAAAACTTTTAAATTATTATTTTGGCCATTGTGATCAATTTGACCATCAGTACAAAAGATTTTATTGTGAGCAAATGTTTATTTTTTAAATTTTTTTCTTCTTTTTTTATGTTCTGTAAAAAATACGTTTAGGCATTTAGCATCATGCATAGAAACAAGATTGTAATGGAGAATTATTTTCTAGATTGTATTTTAGACAAAACCATGTTGGGGAATAGAAAACAGAAGTATAAATAAAAAGCAAAACAAGAGTGTTTTTTTGTGTTTTTTTTTATATTTCATATTGAAGAATATATAGTGGGAAAACCCAAATTTGCATGGAATCCTTACACAGCAGACAAAAATAATGCATTCATTCCCACTGACATTTTAGCTTCTCTGGTAACAGTTCATAATCTATAATATTTAAACAGCTGGTCATTTTTTTTACATCAGCGGTCTCTAAACTTTGTCAAACTGTAACTACAAAATATGTTACAGCAAGTTTAAAAAGCATAAAAGAAAGGTAAAATAAATAAACAGAATTTCAAAGCAAACTGTACATTGTGCTGGTTCTGTTGTTGGTCAGAGTGTGGATCAACAGAAAGACATTTCCCAAGTTTTGTCGTGTTGAAAAGCCTTTTTGTTTTCTTACCAAGACTGTGATTGTGCAGAACTGATATGAAAATGGAACATTTTAGGCTCAAACAGCTAAGGTGTAAAAGTCTTGATTTTTCTAAAACTCAAGTACACAATATTTCTGTTGTGTTTTCCATGACACAAACCCAATCGCACACAATCACACTGCTAGATACAATCACACATACTGCTGCACACACACCACCGTAGGCACCCTGCATTTGCCTACCATTTAGCACCAGGAGGGTGGGTTCCCTGGGGACCTATTCTAACCATGCAGGCACAGGTGAGAGCTTTGGCAGGCTGCTCTCCTCATGCACCATTTCTCCTTTTCAAACACTGGGAGTATGTGATCTGAGACCACCACCTTCTACCAATAAATTAATTAAGGGCTGGCCCTCACTGCCCATTGCAGATATCAGGCCAACACCGGTAGAGATCTTCAGATCTAGATCAGGCAGTTTTGCTTGCCACAAACGATGCCACAGGTTGCCTATCCCAGATCTAGTCTAGACTTTTCTACTCACCCAAATTTAACTCTATCCAGAAACGGTTTCCAGAGGAGGAGAAGTGTATTTTGAAATGATGAAATCGCATCTGACAGCAAAGGATGAAGGGAGAAGTATATTTGACATATACAGAATATTGCTTATACTATTGGAACTATGGGTTACTTTCTCACAAACTAATCTTTCGTTTCTTTAAAAGAAAGCTGTATTCCTAACACTATAGTGTCCTTCTGCCCACACACCCCTGGACGGCAAATAAAGGGTTAAAAGACCTTTTTACACTTGCCCCATTCTAGAGTAGTTGTCTTTCAGTGCTGGGATGGGCTCTTCCTTCTCCCACATCAGTCAATGAGGGGTCACATTGTGCATGCGCACATTAGGCCTTTACCATGGGAAAGCATGGGGGATTTAAAGATGCTGGACGTCCTCATGCAAGGCGTGAGGATGTCCAGTGTCATTACACAGTCTTAACCCAGCAATGTAAACAGTGCCGTTTCTATAAAACGGCAATGTTTTACATTGCAGGATTAAAGGGACATGGACATTGCACCCAGACCCACCCACCACTATAACTAATGTAGAAAATGAAATCAAGAGATCTAAATTATTTAAAACTAAATCTATTGTGTAATCATCATGCAGCCTCAAAGTAAAATAAACCACTACAATCATGCTTGAGTGCATTTCCAATGCCTTGTTATATTTTGAGCTATACATTTAAATGCAAATGATTTGTGATATTCTGTTTACCTGAAAATTAGCCAATCCTGCTTCGGTCAGGATCGATACAGTAGAGGGATGTCTATGCTCCAATGGCACATGAGCAAACTCCATGTTTCCAGGGAAATGGTGTCTATGGTAAATTTACTAAACTAGGTAATGAATGGTAAAACAATGTGGAGTTCAAAATAAACAGGGGACTGCTCATTTCAGGGAGAAGATAAATGTACATTACTTGGAGAACAAATAATAAATGTTCTAGATTTCTGCACTACTTCGTTAGATGGACCTGTAACTTGGCCTTGCTGTTCTTCTCCTCTTATTCAATAGGGGATGGCTGAACATCTGATAATGTTGCTACAATGTCTAGGAGATCCTGCCACTCAACATCTTGCACTGTCCTGAATGGGCCACCATGAACAAGTGACTTACCTATTCAGACTGAACTGATTTACTAAAATGCTGCATTAATACACCCAACCATGAAAATACAACCCTTCTCCACTGATCTGTATTAATTTCATCCGTAAGGATAGATCAGCAATATGTCCAGACAGGCAACCTGTGGATACTTTCCTCTTCACAAGAGTCAATGTGTCTCATGCAGAGACATTTATTCCGCTATCATCGTCCGATGCTTATTCTCAAGACACGCTGATAGAGAACCAGCATTATAAATAATTAATTTTCTATCCACAGGGACGCACGTTGTCAACATGACATTGTCTGAGTCCTTCTTCCTTGTGTCTTTGGCTGTCACTGTGTCAGGAATAAATAAGAAATCCCCAGAGAGTAACGTCTACTGCTGCGTCCTGGCGTTCCCATCTTGTGAAAAGCTCTGGTGATCAGGAGCCGTGTACGAAAAGTGTCTGAATTCATCCTGATTAATCATTGGGAGCAATCGCTCATCAATAGGGGTTAATACTGCGTCTTCTTTAACAAACTCTGGATCAAAGTTGCTGACGTCTTCTCGAGATTTCTGGGGGGGAAAAGGAAAGAATGTATCTATATATGTATACATTAATGAAAAACAAAACATAAATAAATAAATGAAAAGAAGAAGTACTTGGCTTGCCGATCACAGCATTAATTTCTTCCTGCTGTGAAATCTGCAAAGACTAGGGAGTAGATGACAACAGCAGATCAGACAATCCAGACAATTTCTTTTTTTTTTTTAGGATTTCTAATGAAGGATCTGTGTAGATCCAATAACTCCAATACGCAGATTGCTCCCTATAGAGTTGCATTGATTCAATGCAGCTCTAGGGGAGATGCTGATTGGTGCAGTGCAGCGTTTTGCCGTGCATGCGCAGTAGCCTCCTAATGCCTTACTATGGGAAAGCATTGGATTGGCTGAGATCATCACGTTTCATAGTCTCTCCATGGAGGTGGGGCCAGCAGCGGCAAGACTTGTGCAGCGTGGGAAAAAAAAGGTGGGTTTAAACACCTTTCTACTGCACAGTGGGGGGCCGGACACTTAAATAATTATTTTAACACTATAGTGTTAGGAATACACGCTTGTGTTCCTGACACTATAGTGGTTCTTTAATCAGTGCTCAGGAACTATTGTGGAAGTAAAAATGATTATACTATACACTTACATTTGGCCGAGGCCAGGAGCTGCTCCTGCTGAGTTCTCTCTGTCTTACTTTCAAGATGGCTTCTTGCTTCTCTCTCCTGTAGGCACTGTAACCCCACCCCCTGGTGCTATGACCCAGTTATGGCCTCTGATTAGAGAGGCCAATAGCATTAAGATTAGGGCAAAACGATTATATTTCTTAATGACACAGAATGTTAATTAGCTAATCACACAAACTGTATGACTCATACATCTATTTTGCTTTCTTTTCCTGAAGGATAGAGTTTAAGTTCCCCTTTCTTGTACTAACCTAGTCCTTATAAATATACATACATACACGGGTTACAAATCACACTTACAATTCGTGGTCTGAAAGGTGGCTCAATCTCCTTCTTGTTCAGTTTATCCCAATTAATGTCCTTAAAAAACGGGTGCCACAGAATGGCCTTCTCACCCCCCAGAGCCAAGCTGCCCAACCGTTTGTTTGGCTTTTTCTTCATGAACTAAAACATAGACAGAAAACCTTATTAGCTCCTTTAATCTACAAAGAAAGATATTTCAGAAATCTGTAAACAACACAATCTCCTGTACAGTTATTACTGGCAGTCAAACATCTGGTTCTTTAGATCGTTTTAGTGATCATGCCCCATGGGTCACAGATCCCATGTGCGAATGTAATGCGTGGACTAAAAAGAGAAAATAAATCTAAATGCATTCAGTAATGTCCATACACAGCTATTTATTACATATCATCCTTCAGCAACATAAAAAGCAGACACACTATGAGTGTGTGTTTACACAATTTCCCACTTACTGGGTATGAAAAATCCCCAAGCACTTTGTATGTTTCTCTGAAGTGTTTGATATATTATTGAGGGTAAAGTAGTTCAGCTGAATTTCAGTTCAATTTAATTTTACACCCCATAGCACACAGCAGACAGACAATATCACTGAAGCTAAATACGCTCACTTAGACCAAGTGCAAGTACAGTATCTGCATATCGCCAGCAGCCAGGCCACGTATGGTCACCAACGCCACCATAGACAGAAAATGGAAAAGGTCCAAGGGATACGGTAGTTATTTTTCTTAACACTAGCTGCAAAAAATCCATATGAGCACCTTCTAACCTTGAAGGAGGATGTGAGACCATTAAGTGGTACGTCATGTGGTGTGAATACACACCAAGCTAATGTGGAACTGCTGCATCCACTTCTAATAATCTGCTTGTTCTGCACCTACCAAGTACAGATCTCTGATGTCCCTGGATGTGGGACACAAGAGTGAACACCCAGCCTCAATCTACGTATTATTACTGCACTGCCTAACTGATCCGGTTAGAATCTATGAAAATGTATGAGGTCCTGATGAAGACAAATATATAATTGAAATAATACAATTTAAATTTTTTTATGAATTTCCTTAACTTAAAACGTAAGCTGGATTCTCACCAGTGGGAACAAGTGATGCAGACAAACTATTTTCCACAGGTCTGCGGTCTGCTTAATAAAAGAAGAAGACTGTTCATTGATACTGAGCATTTTGGATCCTCTGCTGTTAGTTAGCCATTTACTGGAAAATGAAATCCAGCGTTTTATTGCCAAGGAATGTCTGAAACACGGCAGATTCAAGGATTTATCACTAAATCTACAGAATTATTTTTTTTCCCCTTTTTTTTTTTTAGTAAAATATAGAAAGTTTAATATAGTGTGAAAAGATTGAGAGATATGAGAAGAATGACAGTGGGGGGAAAAAAAACAAGCGTGAGACATGTGCAAGGGACTGATTATAGAAAAGATCCGAAAATAAAGAGGGAGAGAGGAGGATGAGAGAGTCAGCAACACTTGGGATAGGATAGAAAGAACAGCAGGAAATGCATTTTATTTTCTCCTCTTAAACATGTAAAATGGCAAATGCATTCCTCCCACGTGTCGATAGTTAGTAGGCACAGTCCTTCTAGTGGGCCCATTTCCCTCTCTTTTTTCTCCTAATGTCCCTCTTTTCTAGCAGCTCCATATTGTTGGTGTGTCTGAGTGTATAACAGAGCTTCCCAGCAATAATACTCCCAGTAATGTGTCTGAGTGTATAACAGAGCTCCACAGCAATAATACTCCCAGTAATGTGTCTGAGTGTATAACAGAGCTCCACAGCAATAATACTCCCAGTAATGTGTCTGAGTGTATAACAGAGCTCCACAGCAATAATACTCCCAGTAATGTGTCTGAGTGTATAACAGAGCTCCACAGCAATAATACTCCCAGTAATGTGTCTGAGTGTATAACAGAGCTCCACAGCAATAATACTCCCAGTAATGTGTCTGAGTGTATAACAGAGCTCCACAGCAATAATACTCCCAGTAATGTGTCTGAGTGTATAACAGAGCTCCACAGCAATAATACTCCCAGTAATGTGTCTTTAAACTACAATAAATGTGTTTAGAAAGCAATCTGTGGACATAAGATACATTGTTCTTCTTTTATATTACATTTTAGTTATTTAAATTTATTAGTTAATCACCCGAAATTTAACAGAAGAGCCCCGCCCCTGGCCTTGACCGCACTCCCTCTCACACCCGTAATATTAAAGTGTCCCTCATTATTCATTTGAAATTTTGGGAGATATGTAAATGAGCAAAAGGAAAGCAGCATTTACCTGTTGTCTATGAGAGCATTTGAGGATTTGCAGGAAAACAAACAAAAAGAAAAATCCAAAACACACAACATGAATAAAACAAACAAGAGAAACCGAACAGTTATGCAGATTCCGGCCACTTATTAATGAGCACGTTTATCTTTCTTAAAAGACATTTTAAAAGCCTTACATAAAACCATTGCCTTAAATACCCAGTCTCTTTATTTTCGGGAACTAGTGGTAAATTTGTCTTTTACTCCCCCCACCTGCTGTAGCTAAAACAGAGGGTGTATTCACGGTTTAAGGTGGAATATTTGATACTGCAGCCTGTCCAAGAAAAACACTATTGGCATCAGGCAGACATGAAACAGATCATCTGACTGGGCACCTTATTCTCAGTCTACGTGCCAGGGTTGACACAGCAATAAAATATTTTCTGGGCGTATAAAGTGATCAGAAAGCACGTGTTCAGTCTCAAAACTCTTAAAAATCAGCATTGCAGAAACATTTACTGCGGTCAATTACAGCTCGATTTGACGTTCTATCTCCACCAAATAAAAAGATCTTTCTAGGGAAGAAATTACAAAGAAATTCACGCACATTGCATTGCGGTAAAACAGCCGTTTTAATAATAGAAACACTGGACTAAGAATTGGTACAAAAGCAAAACAAAATATGCAATATTTCATTAAAAGCTTAAAGTATTAAAGAATGTTAGAAAAGTAGGATCTTTAATAGTGGTTCAGGGGTTGGGAAACTGTTGGAAGACAATGAACCCCTTGTCAATGGAAAGACGGGCGATGCAACGTGTCGTTGAAGAGAACTGCCATGTCACCATGATAAAATTACTACATATATCTTTTTTTGTATTGAGTATATTTGTTACTTTCGTCCTTACATTTACTAAAGGGATAGATGGTTGCGCACTGCTAAGAATGGAGCGATTCAAAGTGATAGTAAAATGTTTTAGTATCAAAATTTAAAGCGGCACTGTCATGGCCGAATCCCTTTTTTTTTTGTTTTGTTTTTTAAACCCCCTCCCGACTCCACTACTACATCTAACTGACCCCCTAGTTACCTCCAAATGCCCCTAAGCCCCCCATATTACCTATTTTTAATCTTTATTTTCTGCCCCAATCTATATTCAGGGCAGACATGAAACAGATCATCTGACTGGGCACCTTATTCTCAGTCTACGTGCCAGGGTTGACACAGCAATAAAATATTTTCTGGGCGTATAAAGTGATCAGAAAGCACGTGTTCAGTCTCAAAACTCTTAAAAATCAGCATTGCAGAAACATTTACTGCGGTCAATTACAGCTCGATTTGACGTTCTATCTCCACCAAATAAAAAGATCTTTCTAGGGAAGAAATTACAAAGAAATTCACGCACATTGCATTGCGGTAAAACAGCCGTTTTAATAATAGAAACACTGGACTAAGAATTGGTACAAAAGCAAAACAAAATATGCAATATTTCACTAAAAGCTTAAAGTATTAAAGAATGTTAGAAAAGTAGGATCTTTAATAGTGGTTCAGGGGTTGGGAAACTGTTGGAAGACAATGAACCCCTTGTCAATGGAAAGACGGGCGATGCAACGTGTCGTTGAAGAGAACTGCCATGTCACCATGATAAAATTACTACATATATCTTTTTTTGTATTGAGTATATTTGTTACTTTCGTCCTTACATTTACTAAAGGGATAGATGGTTGCGCACTGCTAAGAATGGAGCGATTCAAAGTGATAGTAAAATGTTTTAGTATCAAAATTTAAAGCGGCACTGTCATGGCCGAATCCCTTTTTTTTTTGTTTTGTTTTTTAAACCCCCTCCCGACTCCACTACTACATCTAACTGACCCCCTAGTTACCTCCAAATGCCCCTAAGCCCCCCATATTACCTATTTTTAATCTTTATTTTCTGCCCCAATCTATATTCAGGGCGCCGCCATCTTTGTGTGGGTAGAGGAAGTCCATGTGGGACACGTCATCTGCCCACACTAGATAGCACTGAGATTCCCGCACATGCCCAGTTAAACACTTGGACATGCGAACGGGAATTTCATCTATTCATTCATTCGTCAGAAAGACGAATGAATGAATAGCATTGTCAGACGAACAAACAAACACTGAATATCAGTGTTCGTTTGTTCATTCAGTTTATTACAAGGAGGGAGCTACCGGCGCGCAGCTCCCTCCTTGTAATATGTAAAGATAGAAGCGGCAGGGAGCAGTGGGGGCCATAAATTACAATGGGGTGGACCTACTGTCCTCCCCCCCGGCCCCCACCCTTAAGTGGTGGGTGGGTGGGGGGCCATAAATTACAATGGGGGGGACCTACTGTCCTCCTCCCCCCCAGCCCCCACCCCTGCGCGGTGGGTGGGGGCCATAAATTACAATGGGGGGACCTACTGTTCTCCCCCCCGGCCCCCACCCTTGAGTGGCCCTAAGACAAATCCCCCCATCAATGGTGACTAGGGGTCCCCAAGCCCCTAGTCACCCACCCCCCCACCCCAAAAAAAATGTTACCGCCTACCTACTCCCCTCACCCTAAAAAATAGTGAGGGGGGAATAATATAACTAACCGCGCATGGGTGGGGGCCGGGGGGGACAGTAGGTTTCCCCCCCATTGTAATTTATGGCTCCCACCCATCGCGCAGGGGTGGTGGCCGGTGGGGGGAGGACAGTAGGTCTCCCACCCTCATTATCTTTATGGCCCCCACCCACCGCTCAAGGGTGAGGGCCGGGGGGGAAGACAGTAGGTCCCCCCCCGATTGTCCATTATGGCCCCCACCCACCGCTCAGGGGTGGGGCCAATAGGTTTTTTGGGGGGGGGTTTTTACAGTGAGCAGCCATAGGCTGCTCACTGTTTACTAAACATGCCGCTACTCGAGGTATAGCGAGTAGGGGCAGATCATTTACTAATATTAAGTAATCTTTACTTAGTATTAGTAAATGTGGCTGAAAGACAAATTTAGGTCTTTCAGCCTTTTGAAAGATAACTCCCTATTACCGTGGGAATTAGGGAGTTATCTACTAAGCGGCTGCAAGATGCAGCCGCGGCACAAATTGAATCGGAGTTTCATTCATTCGAATGAAATTCCAATACGAACAAAGTGCCGAATTGAGTTCTAAAACAAACAAACATACTGTTCTCATTCAGTTAGAACGCAATTCAGCAGTTTCGTCTAAAATGACAAGAAGCATCGCAAGATAACAGAGGAAAGGTAAGAATTATGGGAAAATTGCTCTAACCGGCAGAAATGAAGCACACTTTGCTCCTCCGCTGGTCAAAGCTGGTCAAGCTGAGCAAACCTCCATAAGGCAAAGAGTCCCTACTTTGTCTAATGATTTTAAAGAAAACTAAAGAAGACAGGAAGAAAAGAAGAACAGATCCTGAGAGAGAGGGAGAAAAGGAAGAGATTGAGGAAAGGTAAGTTCAACATGACAGTGCCGCTTTAAGAAAATTTAATAAAAAATAAAAAATGTTTATCGTTTTGGTTTCTTCCCTGATAGAGCCGTCATGATCTGCCACCATGTATATTTAAAAGTTCAGAAACGTATTATGGTGTCACACAACCATATCTGGAAACCTGTGCTGACAGTGGTCCAGTGGTGTTAGCGGGTGATCAGAGGTGTTCTCAAATGGTTGTAAAAATTAATTATTTTTTGTTTGTTTAGCTTGCGTTTGCTTGTAATTAAACTCCAACCAGAGGATCATTGATGTGAAATGGTTTATGGTGTTGGTTAAGTCGGCACTTTACATAGCTATGGTTTTTAGGTAGTAAATACTGTACACAGCATTAATTTACATCAAATATATTTCTGCAGAGGGAGCTAGAACTTGGGCATAAATTACCACCCAAAACTAGAAAGTATGAAAGTGAGGTCAGAAATGGTAGGAGGAAATGTGCGTTTCTGCATACGCATGTGCTGTGTGTAGGATGCCTAGAAAAGTGTGTTGCAAAAATGCTTACAAATGGGCAGATGTGCCTTGTAATGGTCATTCCTATCTCAAGTCATACCAACCCACACTATTTAACCTTTTATTTAACCCGATTACTACATATCACAGTTGCCAACATTTGAAAAACATTTCTAGGGACAATTTGGCGCATGTACACGTACAGATGTGCACACACAGGCAAACACAAACAAACAGATACACTTAAAGAGGCTCACTCTCGTTCCCCCTCCTATCCAAAATGATTAGTTCATAAAGATAAAATCTTCATATACTTATTGACGGTGAAATTACAACCCAAACAAAGGATATACTGAGACAAAGTAGGGACTAGTATTTTTCCTAAACTTACATAGTTACATAGCTGAAAAGAGACTTGCGTCCATCAAGTTCAGCCTTCCTCACATTTATTTTTTGCTGTTGATCCAAAAGAAGGCAAAAAAACCCAGTTTGAAGCTTGAGAAACTTGAGAAAGCTTGAAAAAAAACCTACATTTTGTCAAGCCTTGACAAGCTCTTCACCATCACTAGTGATGGCTAAGGGGAGAAAGGCTCGGTCTATTGAAGATCTTACTGTCTCCCAGGATCCTCCGTAGACCTCAGTGTTGAACTCTTGCCCATTCGCGAGAGTACAATGCTGACATTGCCTCCTGGCAGATGAAGCACCAGGAACTGAAGAGGACCAGCAGGAAGGCCATGGCGAGTGATAGGTTCAGGCAAGTTTAACATATTCTCCTGCACCCTATGGCCACTGCATTGCCAGTGGTTGTTGTCACCGTTGGGGGGGTCTTTGCAAATTATGCAAAGAACCCAGACTGTGAGAGATACACACACACTGACACATACAAATACATACTGAGAAACAGATACACACACACAGTGACAGACTGTCACATACAGAAATAAAAATATTTCTAGCCACCTTCCTGAGGGCCCTCGGGTGGCTACATTGGCAGTTCTGCCCATGGAATGCTGAACATGTCCCTGGACAGCAGTCCAAAATATGGGACAGTCATGGAAAATTTGGGGCATTTGACCAACCATGCGGGATGAAATTCTTTAAAAAAAAAAAACATTTTTTAAAAAGAGGCCAACATATCTGGAAATGTATAACCTAGTGCAGGATCCAGGGTTTCTCTACGTTTCTTTAACACTTATTTTCCTAAAGGTACGACAACTGTTGAATGCTATTTTTTTTTTTTAACAGCCATATTGTCTGTCCAAGGAGGCAATTCAATAACTGGTACATTTTTACCCACATCATCTGATATAAGGAGCGATTTCGAACCCAGATTGTTACACGGGGCCCAATGAAAATCTCAAAATCCACTTAATCCTGCTTTTATGTGATCCTATAAAAGCCTGCAGCGTCTGCTCTCTAAATTGGAAGCAGGAACTTTGATAACCTGAAGATGATGCAAGTTACGATGTCACTTTGTCACGGTGTTAAACCAGCAAAATGCGTTTACTGTCCAAGAATTCCAAAATTAGACTGTGAAACAGCAATATTTCTCCCACAGGAAATCACCGAGACTAAGCAACAGGATGAAATCTAACATACACAGCAGAGAGGGCTCCCAAGGCGTGGTGAGAAATTACTCAGAATTTCCTTTTCATGTGACAAAAATATATAAATAAATACAAATTAAAATATGAAAAACAGAAAAATAAATATTTCAGAAACAAAGAAAAACAAAAATCATATCCCACAATTCCAATAATCCAACACAATTTTTATTCTTTTGAAATGTAACCTTTTTTTTTCATGCATAACTTTATTGGTCTTCGCTATTGAGGTGCCAGAGAAATGCCCGACGTGAACGTTAATATCAGTCTTAAAGATTCAATGGCATAAGATCAGAATGCTTCCCAGGAATTGCAGAATGATGAGAGAAGGATTTACCCGAGGCACCTATGACACGGCTATATCAATTATTTGGGTGTGTAGGTAGAAGCCGTCTTTGTCTCGTATAATGCAATTAACTCATCTAGATGTAACCGGCACAAATCCAATTCACATAATAAACCTGAGCTGCACACAATGAACAGTGAATAGGGGATTATTCTCTAAACGGTGATGGGAGCTGACAAACAGCTTGCAAAATGTAGTGTTTCCCCACGCAGCTATTTTGGACTAGATTTAGTCTAAAAATAAGCCAAGTTTGAAAAATAAATCTATCAAAAATTTGTTTAAAAAAATAAATCAGCTGTTACCTCAATCATAACCCATTGTTTAGTGAATAAACCTCTAAAAAAAGTAACAATGTACCTAGCACACCCCAAAAGATTAGCTCTTGTGAATACAGGTTAGTCATGTGACTGGGCTTTAAAAACACTAATTTATGTGGTTAGTAATGCAAACATGTTTATATAAGAACTAACAATGTGATAATGCTTTACCCGCACCCTCAGTTGGAGTTACAAAGCTTCATCTGTTAAAATGTGAGTTCTAGTTTGGCACAAAGCACTCGTTATGGAAAAAACACTTTGAAACCAGGAACAGGAGCAAAGTTCAGCTCAAACTCTGTGTATGGTGCACACATTGCCCTACAGTAATTATACTGTATTGTGTATTCCAAACACAAGTGACAAAGTCTATTTGCATTATTACTAACCATGTCTGCCACTGAATGGCAGCTATAAACACAGTGGGTGAATGTAGTTTCCCTTTACATGTGCAGCAACATTAACGGTATTCCAGGGTGCAAGTTGTGTTTTGTAAATTATAGACATTTCATATATATCTTTAAAAGTGGAGCGTTTAAAAGTAAAACCATAAAAAATATTTTAAAACAACTAAAATATTAACTTGCACTATATATAAACAAATGTGTTAAAACACAATAATTTGCCTATTTGGTTAAAAATACAAAATATTGGCCTTTTTATCACAATCGGTATAAGTGCAATTAGACAGAGCGTGAGAGAGATAGAGAAAATGGGTGTATTAAAATTTAGTGGAATATCTTATTTTCACAAATAAAGTGCAGTACAGTGACATTTAATTAGCAGCAATATGGTGTATTCTGGCAATAAAGTGTATGTGTGAATTCCGCAAAGGTTGTCTCATTTCCAAAGTTTTTAAAGTGCAAAAACAAGTGCATATAACCAGAAGTAATATGAATAGTGTAGAAGTGTCTCAATTTATCAGTGTGAAAACCCAAGTCACACACTATACTTAAAAGACCACTCTAGGCACCCAGACCACTTCAGCTTAATGAAGTGGTCTGGGTGCCAGGTCCAGCTAGGGTTAACCCTTTTTTTATAAACATAGCAGTTTCAGAGAAAGCCTCTAGTGGCTGTCTCATTGACAGCCGCTAGAGGCGCTTGCGTGATTCTCACTGTGAAAATCACAGTGAGAAGACGCAATCGTCCATAGGAAAGCATTGTAAATGCTTTCCTATGAGACCGGCTGAATGCGCGCGCAGCTCTATCCGCGCGTGCCGATTCAGCCGAAAGGGAGGAGAGGAGGAAGATCGGAGGTGGAGAGCTCCCCGCCCGGCGCTGGAAAAAAGGTAAGTTTTAACCCTTTCCTCTCCCCAGAGTCGGGCGGGAGGGGGTCCCTGAGGGTGGGGACACACTCAGGGCACTATAGTGCCAGGAAAACGAGTATGTTTTCCTGCAACTATAGTGGTCCTTTAACTATAGGTAATAAACCTCAAAACAAAATAAAACAGAAAAGTGCAGACAATCTAATAAAAAGAAAAAGTTTTATACGCAATATCTTCCAAAATGACTCCTCACATACAGTAGAGCCTGGATATTGACTCTTTTGTCCAATGGAGCTTTTCTTTCTTATATAGCAGCAATATATGGGAGCAGAAGACAAAAACATTTGGTGTAGTGAAGAGGTGGGCGACCTTCGGCACTCCAGAAGTTGTGAACTACATCTCCCGTATGGTCTTACAGGCGTAATACTGGCAAAACATCCAGGGAAATGTAGTCCACACCATCTGTTTAAGTAAACAAAGATCACACTCACGTGTACTAGAGCCTATTCTTCTCAGTCTTCATTGTATGTGTAAGCGTATCTAACTACCCTTGTTGTGAGTAATACTCAGGATTCCTCGATTGGATAGTTATTTATAGGCTTTACTAGAAGTAACAACAAACTAAAATAATAATAATAAAAAAATAAGTTACTAGATGAAACCAAAATAAATAACAGTGTATTTGCTTTTATCTGAAACGCTGTGTAGGCATCTTTTTAAAAAAACCATAGGGTGGGGCCAGTGACCAGAAATCAGTCATGGAGTGTATAGCTCCAACCCTGTGGGTCTTATCAGCATGGCGCTAGTGGCTTTGCGCCAAAGACAGGCCAGTCTATTATTAACATGCAGAAATATTGTCCACATAATTCACTATATAAAACATGTCAACTGTCGGCGTATGTGTGTGTTGTAAACCTCTTATCAAATGGAGCTTTGAGCACAATGTAAGTAGATGCACTTTGTTTTAATAAGTAAAATATTGATGTCAAGTATTCACTTTTTTTTTTACAATGATAGCATAAATGGCAAATTGAAGAACAATGAATCACTGCTTATACATTTTGGTATAGCACATCTGCTTTTACTTGGTCCATTATGTGTTTTCTGAAGTAATATTTCCAGTAATTGGCATAGCAATGATGCAAAGGGTTGTTATCCTGTATCTGGAGGAATGCTTGCAGATGTCCTACATTACCTGTCTAGGAAGGTGCAGACATAATAATTTAATAATTTAGAACTTACAGCTTGCAGGATCCCGACAGCATCTTGTGAAAGCCAAGCTGGATAGTTAACTTCATCATTTAAGATAGCCTCAAAAAGGTCATCCTCGTTTTCTGCTTCAAATGGTGCATGGCCAGAAAGCATCTCAAACAGGAGAACACCCATTGCCCACCAGTCCACAAGAGGCCCATACTGCATCTCCTGCAGAATCTACAAAGAAACAAACAACTGAGGTTACACTGGACATCCTAGCCTGTAGAAAGAAGTGTTACGTTAATGTTACCAACAGCCAGGGCTGCCATCAGGGGGTGCAGGCAGTACCATGTTAATGGGCCCGTTCCATCATAGGGGCCTCCATGGAGCCTAAAGTGATTTTTGGTATCTAGCTCCCCTAACCAGATAGTGTTAGCCAGCGGCATCAGAGTGCACCCATTATTAGATGGGAGCCTACAAAGCTCCCTCACAGGTGGCAGTGCTGGAGAATGATGGAAGAGTGTGGTTGTCTGTATGCGTGACACAGCTTAGGGACCCAGACGTTTACTTTTTAAGGGGCTCCAAGATTTCTGTTGCAGCCCTGTCTACAGCATCTGCCATTAAAAAGTTTTGTTAATAAATTACAGCGAATTAAGCTTAAAGGGACTGTAGGCTTAAGGAGAATATTCTGTTACCCCTCCCCCCCCCTTTGTGCTGCTTGGCCAAATGAGGAAGCATTAGCCTGAGCAGCAATGGGCAACTGTAACTGGCTGAGAGTTTCAGCTCACGCTTTCAGCCTATCACATTGTCCATTGCTGGTATGGTTCAGTATGGCTAAAAAAAAAAAAAAGTGTGTAATCTCTGCCTACCCACACCTCCAGTGGGGTCCAGGTTGTGGGAAGTCAGAGACCCTTGTTTAGAGTCAGACTGTATAAAAATGGTTAAACACTGAATGGAGGGACTGAACCAGGGGACTCCAGGCACTATAACCAAGTCAATCAGAAGAAATGGTTCCTTTATGGTTTTCCAAAACCGAGTTGGATATAATACCATGGTTTAAAGGTAACCGGAGTCTAGAAGCACATTTTTTTCCCCAATCGCCAGTACATTTAAACTTTAAGTAGTTAAAACATGCTTCTACTAGAAAAGTTACCAATAAAATATAAAACAAATATTATATTTTGCCCCAGTCATACTCATTCCGCAAAAATCCATACCTCGACATAGGGCTCTTTTAACATACCTCTGGCGCAATGTAATCAGGTGTCCCACAAAAGGTTGATGTTGTGCATCCTTCACGAATCCCCTCTTTACACATCCCAAAGTCCGCAAGCTTGCAATGCCCTTCATGATCCAACAATACGTTGTCCAGCTTCAAATCTCTGAAAAATACACAAACCAAAAAACAGCCATTATAATTGGTTACTCACCGGCCAACTTACAGCAGGTACTGAAACTCACTTTCTGAATTATCTGAAGACAAAAGAAGATTCAGGTTTTCTGAACAGTTGTGTATGAGCACTTCCTAACATCAACAAAAGAAAAAGGATGTTGGCATCACTAGAATAACCTTTGCAATCGGAAGCAGACTCTGCAAGTTTTCCCACTGCTAAAATACTTCAAACACATTTTGTGACATTAAGGTGTATACAAAATCATTTTAATCACCGTGAATTCTATATAACTATGTCCTAACGTTCGCTTTGTGTTTCCAGAATTTTTTTATTGTAATATTTGTCATTTTTTTGGTCCTTGGGAGGAAATATTTTACGTGATACAATATCATACCTTCCATGAGTCCCTATTTAGGAGGCACAGTCCCTATTTTGGGCCCAAATCCATCTTTCCCTCTTTTCTATCCTAATGTCCCTCTTTTCTAGGACCTTCATATGGTTGGTGTGTGATTGTATAACACAATTCTAAAAGAAATACTATTCCCAGTAATGTGTCTTTAAACTACAATAAACGAAATCAGTCTGTGTTAATAAGACACATTGTTCTTGCACTAAATTACATTGTACTTGCATACATTATTAGAAGTTGTCTAAAATTTCTCAGAACAGCCCCACCCCAGATCACACCCCTATAATGAAGTGTCCCTCTTTATTCATTTCGAATGTTGGAAGGTATGTATATATGGGGAGGGTGGGGTAATGTATTTATTTATTTATGGTGGTAAACAGAAAACAGGATTGCAAAATTTAGGTTTTTTTCTCTCGAAAATTCACTGCTTAGTACATAAACCTTGCTGCTCTGGAAAGGCATAGAAACAGATATAGCTATTATGTAATAGCTATATTAAGGCAATTTATTGTTTAATTATTTCTTTAACCCTTAAAATATGTTACAATCCAGGATTGGGGTAGGGGGCAATCATAGTGATTATTAGACCTGTGACTGGCAGTGCTGAGTTTTATTGAACGCTATGTAACATTTTCACTATTCTGGTTTGTGGTCAGTGGTCCATTGGGTATTATTCCCAGACATTAAACGAGCGTTGAGACACGGAGACATTGGGATTAGTGAGCCGGCCCGACCTTAGCCTGATTTTACTGCATCGTACAAAGGATTCTTTTTCTGTCCACAAGCTGCATTCCAGGAAAATCTCTCTCACACCTCACCAGTTTCTCTCAATTTGATCAGTCGTTTTTCTCCCGGCTACACTGGTACACGTCTTTTTTCTGTAACAAAATTGCTGATTCATGCACTGTCAACTTATTCCTGTCAGTGCAAGTAAAATAAAACAGATAAAATAGCGCTAATCAAGATCTGTCAGGATGGTGGGACTCAAAGATTGCCTTATATCTCAGCACAACCAATCGGTAAAACGCATGGGTCACGCTACTAATATAATCGGTTACTGCCTGGGTGCGATGAAAGGTGTTTCAGTTTGAGCCATCACCTTGACATAGATTGCCTCCACCCCCACTCCCAGACTGTCTCCCAAACACACATTTCCCTATCCAGAGCCACCGATGGGTATCTCTTCCACGCTGTATGATATCTACATGTAATTAGACCAGGGCAGCGGAACAAGATGTCAACCTCTGCCACCATTAGTCTGTATAGAATTAACCTTGTATTAGAAGCAGGAAAGGGATCTGTGTAATCGGGGGCATTGGCCTACTGCTTCCATTTATACACCTGGGGGGGCTTTTTTATCTACCCATGTTAGTTAGACCTCATTGATACAGCTTATGGTTTTCCAGGGCACAATTAATAGGCTACTCCAAAAACCATTACTGCTACAGGTCCTTTATGTTGCTTGGAGGGCTCTTTTAACCCCTTAAGGACCAAACTTCTGGAATAAAAAGGGAATCACGACATGTCACACATGTCATGTGTCCTTAAGGGGTTAATGTTGAACAAAGCATTTCTGATTAAACTCTGTGTGATGCGGGGCTAGTGAGATGGTAGAAGCGTTATTTCACCTATTCCTCCAAACAATACTTTTAAACGGAACCTTGAAAACCGTTTCTCTACTGTAAATTGTCAATTAATTTTTAATTGTCAATCCAATAGCTGGATTGGAATCAGAAACATATAGACAGAAAGTAACACGTTCTCAGAGGAAAAGAAACTGGGCTAATGAAATGCCAGCCAGGTCACTATCAGCTTGCAGGTTTGTTTGTTTTTTTTTTTTGTTTTTTTATTCTATGAACAATGCATTATTTTTTAACCCTTCCAGTGTCAGACAGTAAGAGGATATTGTTTTCCCGCTGACACTGAAATTGACAACTTATATAATATGCATATAATGGAAACAGATACGTTTTCTAACTGGAAGACAGTCATGTAATAATACAAGGCAGATGGTAGACATATTGGACTAGGTCCAGCAGGAAGGAGCTCCCCTTCTGAGCCTGTAGGTGGATGCAGAGAAGGCCTTCCACAGAGTTGGATGGGACTTTTTGAGGAAGGTTTTGGCCCGATTTGGTCTAATAGGCTGGATAGCTAATGCAAATTAGTACGTTATATTCATCCCCTTCAGCTAGATTGGTGGGACAGGATTTTTGTACGGATTGGTTCAATATATCAAATGGAACAAGGCAGGGGTGCCCTTTATCATATACACTATCTATAGAACCCCTTGCTATCAATATAAAAAGCAACCCTCAGATTAAAGGGGTGATATTAAAAGACCGGAAATTAAAGATATGTCTATATGCCGATGACATTTTTATTTCAGTAACAGATCCACATATCTCTACCTTATTTAATGCAGGAATTTAAAAGATATATTATTGTATCAAATTATAAATTAAATATGAATAAAACATTGGTTCTAATTAAAAATATTGACGCCGATAACCTTAAAAGACATAAAAAGGATTTTGATTTTACTTGGACATCAGAAGCCATACGATATTTGGGTATAGATATTACTGCAGACGCAAAAGTGATAATGGAAGTACATTTTTTAAGACTCATTAAACATACCAACATGCTATTAAGGAAATGGATATATTATGGTGAGAATTAATACTATCAAAGCATATATCCTCCCCAAGTGGGCATACTTATTTCGAATGATCCCACTGGCAACCCCAAATCAATGGTTAGATATCATACAATCCAACTAATTATATCTTGAGAGGTAAAAGACCCCGAATAAATACTAGGATTTTGTCCAAAAAAAGACCATCAGGAGGGTATAGGATATCCGATAATCAGAAACACCTATCAGGTGAAAATGATTATCCACGCCCATAAATAACAAGTTAACGACTTGAAGGTGTGGTATAAATTGGAAGCAATTAGGGTAGGCATTGATAACACAGATTTTCTATTGTGGAATGATATAGAAGGTAGGCAAGTATTAATGATTCATTAATAATATCTCAAATATTGAAAGAATGGCAAGGTATAAAGAAAGATCTAAAAATTAATAATAAGATTTATGAAGGTTCCCTAATATTAGAATATTGGAGACAGTAATGCCTGACATTGATTTAAGAAGTTGGACTAAACAATGGGAATGTACAAAAAAATATCTTTTGATAAATTGAAGCAGAAATTGAACCTCTCTCAACAACATCTATTAAAGTCAAATAATGATATAATCAATCTACTTAAGAAAACATTCAATAGTACAAGTAAAAAATGATCTATTTCTAATGCAATGGATTGATTAAACATGAAAAACTTTGATATTGAAATCGTCTCCTATGAAACAATGGGAAAAAGATTTAGCGACCTCTATAAATTATTGGGCTTGGGATTCTACACTTTTAAAAATCAAAAGAAATATACATTGTCTTAACATCTTAGAGACACAAGTAAAAGTCATGTACAGGTGGTACATGGTGCCAGTTAGGCTTTCTAGGTTCTACCCTTCTAAGTCTCCAGTTTGTTGGAGATGTTTACATAAGGAGGGAACCATGTATCATATACTGTGGAATTGCCCTAGAATAGTTCAATTTTGGGACTTCGTATTTAAAACTGTAAAGCATATTATTGGAAGACCGTTTATTAAAAAAAACGAAACTGCTCTGTTAAATATAAATACAGGGAGTGCAGAATTATTAGGCAAATGAGTATTTTGACCACATCATCCTCTTTATGCATGTTGTCTTACTCCAAGCTGTATAGGCTCGAAAGCCTACTACCAATTAAGCATATTAGGTGATGTGCATCTCTGTAATGAGAAGGGGTGTGGTCTAATGACATCAACACCCTATATCAGGTGTGCATAATTATTAGGCAACTTCCTTTCCTTTGGCAAAATGGGTCAAAAGAAGGACTTGACAGGCTCAGAAAAGTCAAAAATAGTGAGATATCTTGCAGAGGGATGCAGCACTCTTAAAATTGCAAAGCTTCTGAAGCGTGATCATCGAACAATCAAGCGTTTCATTCAAAATAGTCAACAGGGTCGCAAGAAGCGTGTGGAAAAACCAAGGCGCAAAATAACTGCCCATGAACTGAGAAAAGTCAAGCGTGCAGCTGCCACGATGCCACTTGCCACCAGTTTGGCCATATTTCAGAGCTGCAACATCACTGGAGTGCCCAAAAGCACAAGGTGTGCAATACTCAGAGACATGGCCAAGGTAAGAAAGGCTGAAAGACGACCACCACTGAACAAGACACACAAGCTGAAACGTCAAGACTGGGCCAAGAAATATCTCAAGACTGATTTTTCTAAGGTTTTATGGACTGATGAAATGAGAGTGAGTCTTGATGGGCCAGATGGATGGGCCCGTGGCTGGATTGGTAAAGGGCAGAGAGCTCCAGTCCGACTCAGACGCCAGCAAGGTGGAGGTGGAGTACTGGTTTGGGCTGGTATCATCAAAGATGAGCTTGTGGGGCCTTTTCGGGTTGAGGATGGAGTCAAGCTCAACTCCCAGTCCTACTGCCAGTTCCTGGAAGACACCTTCTTCAAGCAGTGGTACAGGAAGAAGTCTGCATCCTTCAAGAAAAACATGATTTTCATGCAGGACAATGCTCCATCACACGCGTCCAAGTACTCCACAGCGTGGCTGGCAAGAAAGGGTATAAAAGAAGAAAATCTAATGACATGGCCTCCTTGTTCACCTGATCTGAACCCCATTGAGAACCTGTGGTCCATCATCAAATGTGAGATTTACAAGGAGGGAAAACAGTACACCTCTCTGAACAGTGTCTGGGAGGCTGTGGTTGCTGCTGCACGCAATGTTGATGGTGAACAGATCAAAACACTGACAGAATCCATGGATGGCAGGCTTTTGAGTGTCCTTGCAAAGAAAGGTGGCTATATTGGTCACTGATTTGTTTTTGTTTTGTTTTTGAATGTCAGAAATGTATATTTGTGAATGTTGAGATGTTATATTGGTTTCACTGGTAATAATAAATAATTGAAATGGGTATATATTTGTTTTTTGTTAAGTTGCCTAATAATTATGCACAGTAATAGTCACCTGCACACACAGATATCCCCCTAACATAGCTAAAACTAAAAACAAACTAAAAACTACTTCCAAAAATATTCAGCTTTGATATTAATGAGTTTTTTGGGTTCATTGAGAACATGGTTGTTGTTCAATAATAAAATTAATCCTCAAAAATACAACTTGCCTAATAATTCTGCACTCCCTGTAGTACGGTAGGTGTTAAACATGATAATTTGATTACCCATTGCTTAATGGCAGCAAAAATAGTAATTTCACGACACTGGAAGCAAGTAATTATTCCAACAAAAGCATTATTCATAAAATGGTTTTATCAATTGGAGATGAAAAAAAATATGCTACTTTACAATTATCACTCGGGATATAGATTTTCATCCATTTATAGAGAACTAACAGAAAACGTTACCGTTCGTTAAAGTTAGTCGCAGTGTTTGTCTTAGTGATTGTTGGTTTAAGTGACGTGGCTGTATGCTTAGTTATTATGCATGGGAACCATGCTCACGACTGTATGTTATTTATGCATACATTGATTGTCATAATGCCACTTTGAACGATTAGTTTTGCTTTGTATTATATTAGGTGTTAAAATAATATATGAAATCATAAATAAATAAATTTGATAATAATAATAATAATAATGGAAACACCATGTAAAATATACCATGCTCATCATTCTAAACATTAAACAGAACAGCAAATGTATCTTTAAACTGAAAAATAGTAAAAAAATAAATTATTATTCAGGAACGCTCTTTTTTTATTTTATTATTCTTTATTTTATTTGTACATAGCGTGAACAATCATGTTTGCACTGCCATGATAGCTGGTGCAAGCAAGTATGGAAACATACATTAACATAGGTATGGCATTGAAATACATAGCACAGTTATTTTTTTTTATATTCAGGATAGGAAACATGTTAGAGGTTAAACATTGGATCATGGTTGCACAGAAGATGTCTCGATATTTAGTAACACAGTAAACTGGTTAATTTTGCAGCCTATGGGGATTAACATGGTAGCTGAACATAGCGGAGACTTGCTTGGTACATAAGGTAACATCGTTGCACTATCTGAACGTATCATTAGCATGCTACATCAGGAGCTAACAGATTGTATACATGCAGTACAGTTATATTTGCCTGAGTAGGTTAATTGCAAATCTGTTTAGCTATATTAGTTAAATTGGCAGGCTGGAGAGATGGAAGTGCAGGCTAAAATTGAACTCATAGTTAAAATAGATTGGGTGAGAGAGACCGGTTTTCTAGGCAAGATGGCATGGTTAGTGTTGCTTAAAAAAAACAAAAACAAAAAAAGGACAATTTATGCCACCGTGGTAAAAAAAACCTGGGTCCCCGGACAGAGACTCTCCTCGCTGATGAGAGGTGGACGTGATCCTGATTGTTGTTGAGGAGACAGAGAGTAGGCAGCCCCAGTCCTTGTGCAGAGAGCAGCCAACTCCCATCACTGGCAGGTCACAGTTCTGTGTTTCTCAGCTCCATCTGCGAATAATGATGCTGTGGTGTGGCTTGTCAGGTGGTATCAGCCGGCCGCGCTTGGGAGCTGGGTATGTGTGAGGTCTTCATAGTGGCTCAGCTTCACGGGATCGTACCAGCTTGCAGCCTGAACACCTTTGTCAGTCAGCTGGTCTCCGCTCAAGGTCCTCGGTGTCGATTGGAGCACTCTAGGCCGGATCTCAGGATAGGTAGGTTACTCAAATGATTTCTCCATGAGTAGCCCGCAATGAGCGTCAAGAGCCCCGAGGAGGGGCCTCTTTCTCCATAGCGCTTTCTCCCTACTCACCACCTGGATAGGCTTGACTAGGCCTCTGTCTTAGAGCTCTGTGTTCTCCCCAAAAGGGGCCCAGAATCGGGTCGCTGACTGTTCTCCAGTACTAGCACTTCATAGTGCAGTTGCCTGTCGTGACTCAGTGCCAGAAGTTGCGTTTTTGGGACCAAATTGCCTGAGAACAGCAGGAGCTATAGTGCCATGCGTCTGCTCTGCTTGGCGGACCAGCCCCGCCCCCTCAGTTAAACGGTTCTGAGTATATCGTGAAGTCTTAAAAAGAGCTTAAGGGTGCCCTGCACCCATTGCCACACATCAAAATTGATAGCACCCCTCTTTGACTATTTTAGAAGTGCTTCAATTATTAGAAGTTTAAATATTCTATAGCACTGTAGAATGCGTTGGCATTTTAGAAATAAAAATAAGCAATAATAATTATGTTCAGCATCACATGTAACTGTTACAATCCTACAATAATGTGAAAAATTTGCTGTTTTAAAGATAAGTGCCATTTTTTTGACCCTTATGACAATGAAATCTATTGAAAAGTTTACTGGGGTGAGGAATGCAGTGGGGAAAGTATAAGACGCACTCAACTTGTGCAGCGTTGTAACAGTCACCAGGGGACTTATGTAACAGTTTACCAGGAGTTGGAGCCCATTTGCAGGAGATGGCACAGGGACGAGGCAAAAAACAGAAGTGCAGTACAGATTAAGGGGAAATCCAAAAGCAGGGTAAGACGAGAAGCATAAGTCTGGCAGTGGAGTAACGTAGTCGGTAAATCAGGCAGAGGTCAGAGTCCAGGAAATCAGTCAGTAGTGAAGCAGAGATCCGGCAGGAAACACCAAACAGGCAAAATGACCAGATACTAGGTCTCAGGCAGGGCTGGCTTTTACAACCTGCTAATTAGGTGCAGCTGACCCTAATTGGAAAAGGGCTGCAGGTGGATCAGTGCTGCTTAATCAGGGCAAAGTGGTCAGGAAGCAGAAATGCAAACAAAAACTTGGTGGATATCATGATAGAGAACCTGACTGGGATGCTGGAGCTGTGAGTTCAAACCCAGCCAGGTCTCTTAAAGGGGCTGTGCCGTGACAAGTGTGCATCTTCAAGGTGTGGAACACACCAAGGGGTCAAGTTCAGTTATATTATATACACTGGTTTCTCCCAAAACCCCAAATGTGCCAGTTCTGCTTTAATCTAACACTTACAACTAGGACAAATGCTATAAGAGAATCAAACTTCTACATTAAGCCAAAACCATTTTTGTGGATGTCAGCGTTTCTTTAAACGAGTATATCGGTTTAAGAAAAAAAATTTAAAAATTTCAAGCGATTACATCACTTAGTTTAAGATGTCTAGATAGTAGAAAAGCAGAAAAAAAAATAATTGGTCATCGAAACTGGGAAAGCGTGATTCATATTTCCCCAAACACAGATTTATATGGATTTGCCTTACTTAGGAAGGGTGTGCCGGATTTAGGGTGTTCAACATCGTGGGGTCAGGGGAAAGCCAAGCCAAAGGGACACTGTACAGTAAATAGTTTGTGTGAATGGGTGTACTAAATGTGAACAGGAAGACACAACATTTTTTTTTCATCAAGTGCCAACGTATTTTGTTTAACTTGTAAGTAATCAATGGTTAACATTTATAGGAGTCTGAAAAATAGATCAAATGAGGGGTCCTGATCCTATGAATGAGGATGTGTTATTACAACCCCTCTGTTCCTGTGTGTCCAACTTGTCTGGTTACAACTACATGTCTGTTCGTCCACCCATTGTAAAGCGCTGCGGAATTTGACGGCGCTCTATAAATATTATAATAATAATAATAATACAGCCTACATTTTATTTTAGTTTTTCACATACTCCTATGTGTCCTACTTTAAGAGTGTCATTATGAGCAACATTTGGCTGCCTCACTTTATTTCCCTAGTATCACCATTTAAAAAAAAAAAAAATTTAAGTTCAGAATGACAATACTCTATAGTTCTAAGCAACACACCGATGTTTGGCTGACCTTTATTTTAAAAACTTTAACAAAGTTAAAAGGGTCATAAAGCAGGCATCTAAAATGCCTGTCACGGAGTTACCCGAACGTTACCCAAACATGTGTGTTAATAGCCCACGACACACACACAAAAAAGTTTGGTAAATACTTGGTGTAGACATGAAATCAAAACAAAATTGATACATGACTAACTACTATATAACAAGTAAGGAAATACATTTAAAAAAAGTAAATAAAATGTAAACTATCAAGATCATTGCCTATTATAAATGTTTTCATAAGCTCTAGAGAGTAGAAAGAAATCTCTGTCTGCTTCCTTATATAGTCTGAGTAATAGGTGTCACGCAGATTGTTATGATGTTACGGCTAGAGATCACCTGGAGGTCTAAAACTAGTTCCCTTCCACTGATGCTATTCTGTCATTCTGAACAATACAAACAAAGGTGTTTTAGATTGTATTAGGGAAGGTTTGATTTTATTAATACAATTTTATCATAATAAAAAGAACACATCACAATCAGGCTTTGTATTGTGGAAACTGTATTCCATTTTATTGTCACCCTTAAATGAATAGAGGGACTTTGGTATTAAATTGCACTTTTTTTGGTCTTAAAATAGGTACAAATGTACGTAAATAATGTTTAGAACAGATTAGAAACTGATCTCCTTTTTCTTTTTTTCTGATCTTTGAATGGTCCCTTGTTAAAACGGTTTTCGTGCTGGCCTTCGTACATACCCTCGGTTGAAATAAATAAATATATAAATTAATCACAGCCACTCAGGCACGTTCCTAAACTATTTTATACGTTAAAGAAAACAGATCTACAAAAATAGGAACACTTAACTGCTGAAAAATGTTCTGTCTGTCTTTGATCGCGGTCTGTCTGGTTTTTACTCTTAACAGAGGCAGAGGCTTGGGTCAGACACTCTCACCTACCCCAGAACCAGACTGTCTCTTTCTGCCCCACGTCAATTGATCTCTGCCCCCAAATGTCACTTACTGTAATAAGACCCCCAACACACACCTACCTTCCCAGCTACGTGGAAATGAGCCTCTGCCAGGACAAATTTCTTACACAGCTCCATTGGGGTGTTCAAGGTGACATAATAGCACCCAACAATTATGAAGGTTCAGAACTGAGGGATGCCACATGCATCATTTGTGAACCGGTTAGTTCTAGGTGCTCTCATGACGTCCATTTCTGGACACCACGTTGGCTCAGGTAGAAGCACTCTTAAAAAAAAAAAATCTATACTAGGGATCAAGTGGTCTCATTTTTCCACAGCCGGTGCTGATTATCAGTCGCCTTTTGGGCCGACTGCCGATAATCAGTCCGGATGTTCTCTCTACGAGTTTTTACAAAAGTAACATAATTTCTACACAAACTTGCCATTAACTGAACATCCCGACAGCAATCACAGTTCTATTACTCTCAGGCAGCCAGTACATGCTGGGATCAGTGACATCCCATCATGTAAAGTGCTTTTACGGATAAGAGTTTGATTGCGGTCAGCAGTCCCACTCAAATCACTGTCAGACAACCTGTATAGGCTGGAATCACTGAGATCCCAGCACGCTCAGTGCTTTTACTGATAGGAGTGTGATTTCTGACAGCAGTCACCCTCCTATCACTGTCAGCCAGCCCAGTACATTACAGTAGATTATTCACGGTCTCAAATCCCTGCCTTCTGCTGAGCCTTGCATGCGGGGACTCATAGAAAGGGGTGATGTGAAATCACAACACAGCATTTTATTAGTTGGTGGCTGGATTTTCCAGGTGAAAAAGAAAGCATGACTGGGAGTGGAAGAGGTGAGAAAATTATCGACAATAAGTAAATTACAAGGCAGATATCGATAATCCATAAAATGCTGAATATCGGCACTAATAATCGTCAGAACCGAAAATCAGTCTATCCCTAATCTACGCCAGTCTGTGCATGCACTCCACTAATGGTCTATAGTGCGATTCACATCCAAAGTGACCCATGTCATCGCCGTACCCCAAGCAGCAATTTATACATTTCAGAACAAACTCCTGACCAGAACTTAATCTTTGAGGGAAATGGAGCCCTGTGGAAGCAAAAATCTTCTGCTCACATTAGTGAGCTAAATAAAAATAAATGATTGATGTAGAGGAGATTAAAATTTGGCAGCTGTGTGATATTGCTCAAAGCAGCTGCCAATGCAAAGCCGAGGGTGTGAAGGGCAGTCAGGACGACAGGACGGTCTGCTACCTCTAATATACACAAGCAACAATGTTTAATGTTTGGGATTGTGGATATGAAAGGGGCCATCTCACCAAAAAATAAATAAATACATAACATTTTTATTGCATTTTAGGTAAAATTAATAAATATAAAGCAATATATATGTTTTAAATGCACAAAGCTGTCTGGCTGCTGGGATCCCAGAAAGAAATGGTAGAACCCGTACAGTTTGGATTTGCACATTGCAATAGATATTGAACAATTATGGGGTAACATATATCCACAATATTTCAAATGGAATAAAAAGGGACACTTTAGTTTTAAGGGAGTTGGGTGTGGCCAGGGACGGGGAGGTATTGAGACATTTTAGGTGACTTACTAATAGCAATTTTTGCACCTAAAATGTCATTTAGAGCAAGAACAATGTATCTTATTTACACAGACTAATTTCTAAACGCATTTATTGCAGTTAAAAGCACATTACTTGAAAAACAGAAAAGATATCTAACGCATCTAGCTAGACAGAGTCGTAACTGAAACCAGGTTGTGAGGCTTCATGTACGAAAATTGACCCAACCTAAAAGAACCTAACGACACGGTCCTGTCTACGTAACAGCAAAAACACTCAACCACTCAAAACGCTGGTGACGAAAAAATTAGCAAAAGATCTCTGGAGAATTAGATTTAGTGCTTCATACAATTGAAGAAAAGAAAAGAAAAACTGTCCACATAGAAAGCCCAAACATCTGTAATCCTACGAAAAGATACCAAGCATAGCAACATCGTAATCTTAGCAGATAACTGGCAAAGTGAGAGACGTTTATTCTCAAGCCAGTCACACAAAAACCGCATCACCACCAAAACATCCCAAAAGGAGAAATATTTCGGCCCTGGCGGATGTGCCAAACGGATCCCCCTGCACGAGTCTACAACCCAATGGACCCAAACATTTTTGAGGTAGTTTATTACACTTTTAAACCAAATCCCAAAGAGATTTACAGTTGCTCATTAAAGGTCAGATTAAAAGTCAATACCATTTCTAAGCCCTTATGAAAAGCATGCATTGCATTGACTTTCTCTCCAGAAACATCGACAGAAGACTTTCAATCCAAGACAGGAATGAAATCACAGATGGAGACGGGAAGCTTTGGGCAGCATTAAGTTATTATGCAAGAAAGACGAAAATAGCTTTCTGTGCTCAGCAGATCTAATTTACAGAGAACCATAATACAATGTGAATGGACTAGGCAATTAGCGACAGTAATTTGACGCTGTATTTGTAGTAATGCGGGTTTTATACAACACCAGGAAACGCAGGGATACAATAAGCACTGCTAAACCCAATCCATGCAAACAATTAAAGCATTTGGTGACATGGTAAAACTCATTTGTACACATCAGTGTGTGTGTGTGTATATTTATTTGTTCAATCGGAGTGCTTGATTAAAGTGAACAAAATAGTTACTTGCTTTGATTTTGTGGCAAATTCCATTTTGACACATTTTCCAGTTAAATACTCACGGAATTCAGCCAATATGAAACGCAAACACACATATTATTTATAGAGATGTCGCGAACTGTCCGCCGAACTGTTCGCGAACTGTCCGCTGGCGAACAATAGCATGTTCGCGTTGGGCGAACATATCCGATTTCCGGTCCGCCCCCTATACGTCATCATTGAGTAAACTTTGACCCGGAACCTCACAGCCAGCAGACACATTCCACCCAATCAGCAGCAGACCCTCCCTCCCAGGAAGTGTCTGCTGACTGTGAGGTTCCGGGTCAAAGTTTACTCAATGATGACGTATAGGGGGCGGACCGGTAATCGGATATGTTCGCCCAACGTGAACACGCTATTGTTCGCCGACGGACAGTTCGCGAACAGTTCGTGGACAGTTCGCGACATCTCTAATTATTTATTAATTTGCACCCACTATGAAGCACTTCCAGCGTTTTTCTGTTTAATTCTCCATTCAACAGAGCTGCTAGTCTACCCTTGAAGCTGCAATAAGTCATTTTATTTGAGATTTTTTTTTTATTTTTTTTTTAAACAACATCAGGTGCTCATAATCTCAAAATGCAAATAAAATGCAATTACTTTGCCTTTTTATAGAGCAAAAAAGTTCAATACATTTTTTTAGTACACATTTGTGGTTATATTTTAAAATGGGTCATAATACCAGATTCTGGTGCTTCTTGTAAGCTGCTAATAATCTTTGTGTACAGTACAGAATATATTGCAAGCTAGCTTCTTGGCTTTGTTGGAATGGACGAGGGTGAATGTTAGGATATTTGGACTTTATACAAAATTCAACTGCATTTTCCTCCTGCGCATATCGGTTTCCTGTACTTACTCAAGTCTCTGGCAAAGTTTTATTGGCAAAGTCTCACTTCTAACAAGGGATAGAGGTTTTTTTTTTTTTTTTTATTCATACAGAACTATAAATTTACGAAGTCTGCTTGCCCTTTGTCAAACATTTCAGTTTTGACTCCCCCGTGCTGACGCAACTGTTTGCGAAGCTCGACTTCCTCACAAGACAAACATAGAAGCAGGATAAACACAAAGTAACAACACTGTATCTGTTACCATAAATTAGCATTTCAACACGGTTTATTACACTTTACACGGTTTTATAATAGTGGTTTCAGTAATCATGTGCTCGGAAGCAGCAATTAGCTAACCACTATCACAACAACAGATGAACCTTATAGGTCGTGATCCTATAATTGTGCAGATGCTGCAGAACTTCTTGGATTAGATACCACCATTTTGATTCTTGCATATTGTATTTAATATAGAATAATCCAGTACACTGCCATTAAAAGTTAAAGCAGTAAAATGATTGACAGGAGTCCTTTCACAGCCAGAATGGAATGGAGGACTTACGATTATATTTTTTTTGTATTTTGGAATGATGGTTTTGGCGCACAAGTTTTAAGCATATTCTATGTTATGTATTAATGAAAAGAATGGCTGTGTTCCGACCTGCCGTGACCCATTAATTTAGCATTCAAGTATGAGCTACTGGTAACATTTGGTCTTTAGTCTCTATACACAAGCTGACTGGCTCGAAGGGGTGAGTCGCTATATGAATTCATTACCACTGGCTATTAAAGGGTTAGGAGTCTGAAACAGTTTAAAATCATCTGATTGATGCATACTACACACGTAACGAAGAGGACAGAGGATGAGAAAATCAGCCCCATGATGGAAAATCAAATTCTACAAAAAAAGCAAGTCTTATGAAGCCTGTTACTTGAAGTTTTTAAGACCGACTGGAAACTAAAGATTCTTTTTTTGATTGCCTTTCCTATGGGTTTTATTTGCTATGGTTTTACATTTCTTTACGAAATGTCACTAGTAAATTTAAATCCTAATTTCCTGCGGCTTGCTTCTTTTTTTTTTTTTTAGAAGACAAGTGACATTGCTGGGTAACTGGAATCATGTGTTAAGTCTTCCTTGGCCACTTGCCATGAGCAGATTAAAGCATTTAGCGTTGTATATTGTAGAAAGTAATGTATTCACAAACTTAACGAGAATATTAGGGATTCGTTTCCCTTAACGGGCAGGGTAGCGAGTGCCACCAAATACAGATAAACTTTGCCCCGTCCACCTTCTTTTCCAAATGGCGAGTATGACCGATTTGTTGGCCTTGTGCCTTCCTTACCCCTCTGTCCTAAAGTACTTACAGAACTGCAGTTATATTGGAGGCAATACTCTGTGCAGAAGGTATAAATACTGGTCTGTGCTTTAAAAAGGAACCTTTAACTTCCAGGATATTGTGTTTACCTATCACTGATATTTAGCAAATGTGGCTTTTTTTTCGCCCTGTCACTCACTGCTCTAAATTTTGTCGTTCACTGCTTTGGAATTTAGCTAGTGTTTCAATGTTTTGGCTCTCCTCGTTTGCATGGTGTGCCATGGCTGTGCCTGCACTGAACTCGATTGTGATATCACCTGCTATATCTTTAACGTACTTAAACGGTTTTTATGGGATGCGATTATTTAATATTTTTTTAACATTTTTGGGTGATTTTCAATTTTTTTATGAAATGGTGTAAATTCTAGAGAAGTTGCAGTTCTGCTTTAAAGGAATACTAAAGTCACCAAAACCACTTCACCTCAATGAAGTGGTTTGCAAGCAGTGGCCTTGTAGTTTTAGAGACTAAAATGTATCCATTGTAGGATTAACCCCTTAAGAACCAAACTTCTGGAATAAAAGGGAATCATTACATGTCACACATGTCATGTGTCCTTAAGGGGTTAAACACACCTCTTGCTGACAGCCACTAGAGGTGCTGCCCTCTGACGCCGAACATAATCAAATGCAGCTCATATGGAAACACTGGATTTAACGCTTCCCTATTAGAAGCATTTGATTGGATGAGTGTGTGATGCCCGCTGTGCATGCGGATCTCATCCCCATATGGTCTTCGATGAGGTGATTGGCTAATCAAAGATGCGAAGGCTCAAGGAAGACATCTTAAAAGGAGTAGTTTTTGAGATAACATTTAGCTTAATTGCCATGATTTATAATAAATAATATATATATATTATTTTGGTTTGTAGTAGTTTTATTTTTTTATATAGGACTCTTTAAATAATGGCAATTAAGTTAAATATATATATATATACACACAGACACACACACACATATTTCCCTCTGACAGATGACACAGATACCAAATTAATTTATTTGATATCAGACAGAGCGCAAGAGAGATCACATGGTATGAATGCAGCATGTCTCTAAATGCTTTGTGGTGGAATCTCGGTAAAAATAAATTTAGTAGGCCGAGATTACCACGTGGCATGTGTACGTGCATATGCTGACGTATCGATCAGTTGGTTGCACGAGGCAAGATACGATCAGTAGTGTACGGAGCATGTGCAAGAATACAGGATGTAGTATTCCCCTCCTCCATTGTGCTGGACAAGCCATGCGGTCAAGCAGGAAGTTAATTCTTATTTGTAATGATTGGTCAAGAGAATGTGCGGGTGGAGCTTAGTATGGGAGGAGTTATGTGCCTATATAGGGAGCCTGCACTATTGTTCAGGGCTCAGAACTTGCTGTATTTTTTGGTGACATTAGTCCCTCTGAGTCCCGATCGGTGATCCAATAAAGAATCTCTTCCTTCCTGAAGAAACCTGTGTCCATCCCTCTGTGCTTTGCTTCCGTCAGTTTCTCCGGTATCATTTGGTGCATTGGCCGGGAAGCTCATCGTTCAACGGTAGCTGAGAGGCAGAGGCGTGAGACGGTCTATCTTTGCCCACGTTCTCTACGGCTGCACCCCTGAACTTCTGCGTGGACCTCCCTTCGTCTCGGCGCCACTGGTCTGTTGTCCAGGAGATCATCGGCCTCTACGTAAGAAGTGCTGGGGTGTCCCCGTCGATGAGTGTGAACTCAGGTTCAGGAACGAGGAGGTAAGACAACTGCTGTTTTAGACGGCAGACCCACTAGGGGTATACCGATTGTGCGGTAGGCCCAAAAGGGGTTTAAATCTGTGTATGGAATCTGCCCCCTCTGTCGGAGGGAAGGAGCGAAGGCGCACCGCTCGATCGAACGCTCTTTAGTAAGACCGTTTGATCTGGTTAGTCAGGCGGGGTCCTGTGTAAATAGCCCTAGCCGGACACCGGTGTCTTGTCTAGACTAGCGTTCTAGGGTGTATATTACGTTCGCTAGGTCGGAGGGACCGGGAGACTAAGCGGCGCCTGTGTAAATTCGGTTCGCTAGCTCTCAACCTATCTTGGCTAAGTGGGAAGGCGTGTAAATTTGGAACCCACTAGACTTTTGATAGAGTAAATAGACTAGAAGGGCAATTTTGTAAATTTCGCCCTCTAGTTCGCTATATGTGGTGTTTGGGCAGTGTGGCTAACCAAAACGGGTGTATATAGTTTTAGGTAGTCCATTCAAGGTACTGGCCAATAGTTTAGTTGGGATTGTAAATGTGTTAAAGATTGTTAGTAAAGTGTATATCTTGTTAGATAGCGCGAGCTCAGCCGTCTAGCGAGAGTGTTAATAGTGTGTTGCTGTATCATAGTGCACGGTACCATAACCCTGTATATTTACTGACACTGTATATAAGTACTAATCATTGTCGTCTATTGCATGTTTAACACCGTAACCACTAATAATTGTATTGTGACCTTAAATTGTGCTTTGACCTATGCTAACCGTACTGTAACCGATACTAGTAAAAGACGATGTTACTGGGGTGTGTTATAGACGGGTAATTCATATATAGAGAATTATAGCGTGGGTGACTGTATAGTTTCGCCAAAGGGCATAATATTGATTATTTAGTGACTGGTGTAACAGCTGTGTGTGTACGGGAATTCCCTGAGTGATTATTGTGTTATTGTGTACGTTTCACTCGGTAACTGTACCACGTGGTGCTGTTGCCAGAGGAAACGGGTGTGACTGTTGAATAAGAACGCGTGCATAGTATTCGTTGTCAACGACGTTCCATTGATAAGTATGGGCGCGTCAGAGTCAACGATTTCGGATCCCTTAGGTTGTATGGTAAAGAATTTTAAAAAGGGATTCAAAACATGTGATTTTGGGGTTAAAATGTCTCCTGTACGTTTGGTCACTTTGTGCACTAGGGAGTGGCCTATTTTGGTTGCGGCATGGCCGCCGCGTGGCAGTTTGGATCCAACCCTGGTACAGCGTGTACACGTGGCTGTTCAGGTAGGCCTGAACTTTACGGACAGTTTCCATACATTGATTGTTGGGGGCAGGCCGTAAACGACTCGCCAAAATGGATCCGGATATGCCACGAGGAGCAATGTCGCCTCATGGTGGCCAGGACTTGTTTGTCCACTAGGACTGGTGTTAGGCCCATTTTGGACACGCCCCCTGAGTCCGAGATCCCTTTGCCGCCCCCTTACTTTCCTTTAAGAGGAAGTGACGCGAATGCAGGAAGCTCTGCACCCCTTCCCCTATTGCCCCATCCACTTCCGCTTCCTCCTCCAGTACAGAATCCACCCCCCCTCGTATTAAAACTCCCCTTCCGGAACCAGGACCAACCCCCATTAGATCTGAATATCCTGATTTGGCGCCACTTCAAACTTCCGGTCAAGCTTCTTCTAGCTCGGCTCGGAGTATACTATTCACTAACTTTTCCCAAAATCAAGTTCCCACATCCTCATGCCCTATTACCTCTCGACCGGAACCTTTAACTGACGCCCCTCCACGTAGCCCCATACTAACCCGACAACTGACCGGTACCCAACAATTAAAACATTACCAGATGCCTCTTCGTCTGAATCCTGGGTCAGCCTATATCGATGCCGCAGGTCAAATGGCACATGCTGACCCAGTCTTTGTATATGTCCCGTTCACGACTACCGATCTCTTGAATTGGAAGACCCACAATTCCTCGTACACTGAGAAACCACAAGCTATGACCGATCTGTTCACCTCGATAGTTCAGACACATAACCCGACATGGGCTGATTGCCAGCAGTTATTAATGACATTGTTCAATAATGAGGAAAGGACAAGGATTAACCAAGCGGCCATTAAGGCGCTAGAGGAGAGAGCCGTGCTTTAAATCAAGCCAATCCGGCAGCATGGGCCGCAACACATTACCCTAACACCGATCCTGACTGGAATGTAAATGGCGCAGATATGGCTCAACTTAAAGCCTATAGAGATGCTATAATTGCTGGCATGAAAGCCGGAGGGAAGAAAGCTATTAACATGTCGAAGACAGTTGAGGTGATTCAGAAAAGTGATGAAGCGCCCAGTGTCTTTTATGACCGATTATTGGAGGCATACCGCTTGTATACCCCCTTTAATCCGGAAGACGCTGATAATTCCCGAATGGTAAACTCCGCCTTTGTCAGCCAAGCTTACGGAGATATTAAGCGCAAGCTACAGAAATTAGAAGGGTTTGCAGGTATGTCTATCACCCAACTAATGGAGGTAGCGAACAAAGTATATATGAATAGGGAAACAGAAAGTAAGAAAGAGGAAGAGCGCAAGATGCGTAGAAAGGCAGATATGCTAGCGGTAGCGATCGCAGGCGTAGATAGACGGGGCCCAGATAGAGGCGATGGTAGATGGAATAGGGAGCCTTTGAGTAGGAATCAGTGCGCGTACTGTAAGGAAGAAGGGCATTGGAGGAACGAGTGTCCGCAAAGAGAGCAGTATGAGAGAGACTTACCCAGGGCAGGTTACGGAAACTTTAGAGGCAGAGCGAGAGGTAGAGGAGGCCCCGGAGGGAGTAATAGTAATAGAGGGAGTAATGGGAACAGAGGAAGTGTAAGGGAAGATAGGTACTATCCAGCAGCGCAAAGGTCCCGCGATAGAGAAGGTAGGGACTTTGTGGGATTGGCTGACACGGTCATGGAGGACTATTGATACCGACCGGGCTCCATCCCCCTTGGTCGAGCGGAGCCTATAGTCGATGTATCAATAGGGGGAAAAAGGAGTGCGTTTATGATCGACACTGGTGCTGAACATTCGGTGGTGACTAATCAAGTTGCTCCTCCATCTGGAAGAACTATTACTGTAATAGGAGCAACTGGAAGAAGTGCTGAAAAACCGGTTCTTAAAAGTCGACTCTGTACATTGGGAGGCCACGTAGTAAAACATCAATTCCTTTATATGCCTGAGTGTCCAGTCCAATTGCTGGGACGTGATATGCTATCCAAATTACAAGCGCAGATTACGCTCCTACCAAATGGAACAACATCCTTAAAGTTTAATGGACCCTCAGGTATTATGACATTGTCCGTACCAAAGGAAGAAGAGTGGCGACTTTATACAGTGTTGACTAGCCAAAACCCGAGGAGTGATGAATCCTTATTTAACATACCAGGAGTTTGGGCAGAGAACAACCCACCAGGACTGGCCCGCAATATTCCACCTATTAAAATCGAACTAAAACTTGGGGTTTATCCAGTAAGCCTGAGACAATATCATATTCCGCAGAAGGCTAAGAAGAACATCCAATCTTATCTGGATAAGTTCATACGGTATGGTATCCTAAAATTCTGTACTTCCCCCTGGAACACCCCATTGCTGCCTGTTCAAAAGCCCGGTACAGATGAGTATCGACCTGTGCAGGACTTGAGAGCAGTCAATGATGCGGTTGTTAGTATACATCCAGTCGTGCCCAATCCATATAACCTGCTTGCTTTAATTCCGGGCGGGGCTACTTACTTTACAGTCTTAGATCTCAAAGATGCCTTCTTTTGCCTCCGAATTGCCGCAGAAAGCCAATGTATCTTCGCTTTCCAATGGGAAAATGCTGTAACGGGCTCGAAACGCCAAATGACCTGGACAAGATTGCCCCAGGGGTTTAAAAATTCACCTACCCTATTTGGTTCAGCTCTAAGTCAAGATCTACTAGATTTCGAGTCTATCCCAGGAGAGTGTGTATTATTACAATATGTAGATGACTTGTTGATAGCAGCAGTTACAAAGGAAGTATGTCAGCAAGCAACGCACGATCTACTACACATTCTCTGGAAGGCAGGATACAAGGTGTCAAGAAGGAAGGCTCAGTTGTGTTTTCCAACTGTCAAATATCTGGGATTCCATATCTCTGAAGGTCAAAGAATTATGGGGCCAGAGAGAAAAGAAGCTGTGTGCCAAATACCGATACCCAGGAATAGAAGACAAGTGCGAGAATTCTTGGGGGCAGCAGGCTTCTGTAGGATATGGATTCCCAGCTACGCGATACTGGCAAAACCTCTGTATGCAGCTATCAAAGGTACAGAGCACGACCCCTTCTTATGGACTCAAGAACAGCAAACGGCATTCGAAGATGTGAAGAGGGCTTTGATGAGTGCCCCAGCATTAGGTCTACCTGACCACACACGGCCATTCTACCTGTATGTACATGAGCAAAGAAGAATGGCTGTGGGAGTATTGACACAGTACTTGGGATCATGGCAAAGACCTGTTGCCTACATGTCTAAGCAACTGGATGCAGTGGCCAGCGGACTTCCACCTTGTCTAAGAGCTGTAGCTGCAGCCGCCCTGCTAGTAGCTGAAGCCGATAAACTCACTCTGGGTCAAGAACTTTATGTACGAGTTCCACATGCAGTACAGACGTTGTTGGATTACAAAGGAAAGAAATCATTGGTTTAGTAACAGCCGTATGACCAAGTATCAAGCAATGTTGTGTGAAAACCCAAGAGTGCATTTAGAGACTGTAAATACCTTAAATCCAGCTACCCTTTTGCCACAACCTACTGAAAGTCAACATGATTGTTTGGAAGTAATGGATGAAGTATTTTCAAGTAGACCAGATCTTCGTGATTTTCCCATCCAGAACCCTGATGTTCAATATTACACCGACGCAGTAGTTATGTAAAAGAAGGGATCCGCTATGCAGGATATGCAGTAACAACGATAGACAAGGTGATAGAAGCTCGGCCACTGGCAAAAGGAACATCAGCACAAAAGGCAGAATTGATAGCACTGACACGAGCGTTACAATTGGCTGAAGGTTTAAGAGTGAACATCTACACGGACTCCAAGTATGCGTTTTTAACCACTCATGCCCACGGAGCTTTGTATAAAGAAAGAGGACTATTGAATTCAGAAGGCAAAGAAATCAAATACGCAGCTGAGATCCTACAACTATTGGAAGCAGTGTGGGAGCCGAAAGAAGTCGGTATTATACATTGTCGGGCGCATCTGAGAGGAGATGGTGATGTAACCAAAGGGAATCGGATGGCAGATAGTGCAGCTAAGCGTGCTGCTGAATCAGGAAGACAGGAATATGTGGGGCATATAGCTGCTCTTATACCAACTCCACTGTCTCAATGGACTCCAATTTATACAGCTCAAGAAGAGGAGTGGTTAAGGACTGAACCTGGAAAGTATTTGGAGAACAAATGGTATCAGTTAGAAGATGGAAGAATAGTTATTCCAGCATCACTAGCGGTAGAAATTGTCCAAAACTATCATAACGGGACACATTCTGGGAGAGACAGTACAGAAGAATCTCTCAGAAAACATTTCTACATACCAAGATTGTCCAACTTGACTCAGGCCATTGTACGTAGATGTGTAACGTGTGCTAAAAATAATGCAAGACAAGGACCAGTAAAGCCACCAGGAGTCCAGTTTATGGGGGGACTTCCCATGTCCGATTTACAAATTGACTATACAGTGATGCCTAAATCGGGTGGACATCGCTACCTGCTGGTAGTGGTGTGCACCTATTCAGGCTGGGTAGAAGCATGTCCTACTCGTACAGAGAAAGCAGGAGAAGTCGTGAGATTCCTGCTACGAGAAATAATACCCCGATATGGACTACCCTGCTCTATAGGATCGGACAATGGTCCAGCTTTTGTTCATCAGTGCCTACAACAATTGACTCATATGCTTGGTATAAAGTGGAGGCTTCATACGGCATATAGACCCCAGAGTTCTGGTAAGGTAGAGAGAATGAATAGAACTATTAAGAATCAGTTGGCTAAAATGTGTCAGGAAACCCAACTTAAGTGGAACGTTCTCTTGCCCATAGCTCTATTGCGAATCCGTAGTACACCTACCAGAAGGATGGGCCTCTCTCCTTTTGAAATCATGTACGGGCGACCACCTCCCGTGCTTGGTAACTTAAGGGGGGATTTGAGTCAGTTGGGAGAAGGAATTACCCGGCAGCAGGTTGTAGAGTTGGGTAAGACTATGGAGGAGGTACAGAAATGGGTACAAGATAGATTACCTGTGAATATTTATCCCCAATTCATAGTTACCACCCAGGCGACCAAGTGTGGATTAAAGAGTGGAATAATGTGCCGTTAGGGCCCAAGTGGAGAGGTCCTTATGTTGTTCTTCTGTCTACCCCTACAGCGATAAAAGTAGCCGAAGTGGCTCCGTGGATACATCACTCCAGGGTTAAACCAGCAGCAGCCGATTCCTGGCAAGTTACAGCAAATCCAGAGAATCCCTGCAAGATCCGGTTAAAACGCACGACTCAGTCGGAGTGACGAGGAACCTTGTGGATTATAAATTTTATTGTTTCAGAGACTTGGTAAGTGAGTGAGAAGGCCATAATAAAGCCTGTCCACTCACCAACGAGTGTATAAGTCAGGGAAAGTCTTGAGGGGACCCCTGTGAAGACGAGCAGAACTCCATTCCCTGCAGTCCTTACATCCTGGAAGCTGAGGTGCCTTCACACGGACGAAGACTGAGGATGACGACGAAAGATGTATTTTTAATAATGTTTATTTATGTGTATTTTTATATTCAGGAAGGTAGAGGTACCGACACTCCTAGCTGTGAGGTATGCATTAAGACTACAAGAACAGGTAACCATATATCCCAGACCCTAATTTGGCATTCGCAATATGAGTGTAAAGGAGATGTATCAAGATGTAGATACTTAAATATAGAATATAGTGTGTGTCATTTAGGAGTAGGAGAACCTAAGTGCTTCAGTCCTGAGTATCAACCCCGTACAATTTGGTTGACTCTCAGAAATGGAGATTCTCAGGGGACCCTAATTAATAAGACGGTATTAAAATCCGTATATTCTTCAGGTGCTCTGCTATTTGATGCGTGTAAAGCAATATCAAGTGGTAGAAAGCCGTGGAATGTATGTGGGGATCTTAGATGGGAGAGGACGTATGGGTCTAACGATAAATATATTTGTCCCAGTAGTAAAAATAAATATGTAAGTCCAAGATGCCCAAATAGAGATTATAACTTCTGCCCATATTGGTCTTGTGTGGGGTGGGCGACTTGGGGACAGACAGCAGACAAGGACATGATTGTGACTAAGTTGCCTACTGATCCATATTGTAAGTCTATGGAATGCAATCCAATCCATATACTTATAAATAACCCTGACAAGTTCTTAGATAAATATGGTAATTTATTTGGGTTTCAAATATATGGGACGGGTTTAGACCCTGGGACAATATTGTTTATAGGGATAGAGACTGATACGGTAACCTCCCAAACTCATCAAGTATACCATTCCTTTTATGAAGAGATGAGCATAGATAATAAGATCCCCCATAATGCTAAAAACTTGTTCATTGATTTAGCCGAGAGTATTGCCGGTAGTCTTAATGTTACCAACTGCTATGTGTGTGGAGGTACTAACATGGGAGACCAATGGCCTTGGGAAGCAAAGGAGGTAATGTCCGGTTCTGAGGCAGTTGACCAATTAATATCTACACAAGCCGACTATCATATGAGTGTTAGAGGTAAATCTGAGTGGAGATTGAAGACCTCCATCATAGGTTATGTTTGCATAGCGAGGAAAGGAATGATGTATAATACTTCTGTAGGAGAATTAACTTGTCTAGGGCAAAAAGCTTATGATGATGATACAAAGAATACAACTTGGTGGTCGGCTTCAAATGTCTCAGAACCATCTAACCCGTTTGCAAGATATGCCAATTTAAAGGACGTATGGTTTGATCTATCCATCACATCTAACTGGAGAGCCCCAGCGAATTTGTACTGGATCTGTGGTAAGAAGGCCTATTCGGAGTTACCACAGGACTGGGAAGGGGCATGTGTGTTGGGTATGTTAAAACCATCCTTCTTCTTGTTGCCTATTGAAACAGGTGAGACTTTAGGTGTTAAAGTGTATGATGTGAATCATAGGAAGAAAAGGGGACCCATAGAGATAGGTGCCTGGGAAGATAATGAATGGCCTCCCCAGCGTATTATAGATTATTATGGGCCAGCCACGTGGGCAGAGGATGGTACCTTTGGTTATAGAACCCCTATTTATATGCTCAACCGCATTATAAGGTTACAGGTGGTGGTTGAGATCATTACTAACGAGACATCACAAGCGCTCAATCTTCTAGCGAAGCATAATACCAGGATGAGGACAGCAGTTTACCAAAATAGATTAGCCTTGGATTATCTTTTGGCAGTAGAGGGAGGTGTATGTGGGAAGTTTAACCTGAGCAATTGCTGTCTTCAAATAGATGACGAAGGGCAAGCAATAGCTGAGCTTACTAGCCATATGGTTAAACTAGCGCATGTGCCTACTCAGGTATGGAAAGGGTACAATCCAAGTAGTTGGTTTGGTAGCTGGTATGAGTGGTTTGGAGGGCTTAAGGCAGTGGTAGGTGGAGTCCTACTGATTTTAATGTTGTGTCTACTCCTGCCGTGTCTTATACCCTTAGTAGTTAGGTCTGTGCAAAGCCTGATAGAAAATATAGCAGAGAGGAAGGCTGCTGCACAGATAATGGCAATTTATAAATATAAGGCTCTAGATCAGGGAGAACCAATGCAGGAAGACGAGTGTTGAAGATTCACATCATAGGATAAGTCTGGTCTGGTTCAAAGGTAACTTGTGGTGTATGCAAACCAAGGTTAAGTGATGCCTCAAGTAATTGTAAAATATCAAGAGGCATCAAAGGGGGGAATGTGGTGGAATCTCGGTAAAAATAAATTTAGTAGGCCGAGATTACCACGTGGCATGTGTACGTGCATATGCTGACGTATCGATCAGTTGGTTGCACGAGGCAAGATACGATCAGTAGTGTACGGAGCATGTGCAAGAATACAGGATGTAGTATTCCCCTCCTCCATTGTGCTGGACAAGCCATGCGGTCAAGCAGGAAGTTAATTCTTATTTGTAATGATTGGTCAAGAGAATGTGCGGGTGGAGCTTAGTATGGGAGGAGTTATGTGCCTATATAGGGAGCCTGCACTATTGTTCAGGGCTCAGAACTTGCTGTATTTTTTGGTGACATTAGTCCCTCTGAGTCCCGATCGGTGATCCAATAAAGAATCTCTTCCTTCCTGAAGAAACCTGTGTCCATCCCTCTGTGCTTTGCTTCCGTCAGTTTCTCCGGTATCAGCTTCTTAAGACTCCATATTCTGAGCAGAGGAACTCAGAATGGATAAATAATAAAGAAACGCTTTGCAGCTTTAATCGGGCCTGAGAGCATATCAGTACCCAGCCAGCAGCAGGAGAGGAAACTGAGTCTCTGAAAACGCCAGGCTCGCATCAGAACAATAAACAGAAAGAATGCTGCAGATTCAAATGCTTTGTGAGTTCATTATTAAAGGGACACTATAGTCACCTGAACAACTTTAGCTTAATGAAGCAGTTTTGGTGTATAGAACATGCCCCTGCAGCCTCACTGCTCAATCCTCTGCCATTTAGGAGTTAAATCCCTTTGTTTATGAACCCTAGTCACACCTCCCTGCATGTGACTTGCACAGCCTTCCATAAACACTTCCTGTAAAGAGAGCCCTATTTAGGCTTTCTTTATTGCAAGTTCTGTTTAATTAAGATTTTCTTATCCCCTGCTATGTTAATAGCTTGCTAGACCCTGCAAGAGCCTCCTGTATGTGATTAAAGTTCAATTTAGAGATTGAGATACAATTATTTAATGTAAATTACATCTGTTTGAAAGTGAAACCAGTTTTTTTTTCATGCAGGCTCTGTCAATCATAGCCAGGGGAGGTGTGGCTAGGGCTGCATAAACAGAAACAAAGTGATTTAACTCCTAAATGACAGTGAATTGAGCAGTGAAATTGCAGGGGAATGATCTATGCACTAAAACTGCTTTATTTAGCTAAAGTAATTTAGGTGACTATAGTGTTCCCTTAATGCAAATACTGCGTCCACACCCCTCAGGGCCCTTTGTGAAGTGTTAAATACATTACAATGTACTAAGTCCATCTATTTGTATATGTATTTCCATATCCCCTAACTCCACCTGCTCGGCTATGAATAGATACAATGCAGTGCGCACGAATGGGGTATTGGATTGCCAGGGTTTTCTTTGGTTGTAAGATGTCCCGAGAAGACAAGTAATGATATAAGGGGAGACAGAGGATAAACATCTCGGCAACTACGTAAATAACTCTGGCCACATTACTGAAAATGGACTTCAATGTTCACACCTGTATATCTATCTCTAAACACTAAATTGTACGGATGGAAACTGAACTGTAACCTGTAGCCAAAAACAGCTGATTTGAAAAGAATCCGTAACCCAGCTTGGTTATCTGAGCTTTAATTTTACTAATTGGTTTTCAATTAACTACAGTCTGCTGTTTAATATTCAATCAAGTCCAAAACACAAACAGATAATGGACAGAAGTTCAGATTACATTTTTTTACTCTTCTGTTTGTAAATATATTAAATTGCACAGATGAGTATATATTAATGGTGGCCGCGGTCTCCTGGACAGTACAGATTTCCTTTGGAGATAAAACCAAGAATGTATATTTCCCAACTTTTATATACATAAATGAGTGTCTAGAAGCTTCCCCCTTTATGTGAGATCAAACTATCTTTCAACATTAGTGTTCCTTTAAGAACAGCTGGACAGATTACTCAGATTCTGTCAGGTGCCCGTTGCTGTCTCCTCTGCTGGGCACACGCAGAATAGAGGGTCCGGGGAACAATCTGACTACTGACTCCCGGAGGGCGCCAGGATCCCTCCCAGGAATGTAACACTAAAGTGGGCTCTAGTGGTTATGGTACTTGGAGTGTTCTTTTAAATGATATATAGATTGTCACAGAGTGGAAATATCTTAATATAGGATTGTAAGTCAGGAACTCATGGCTCTTATTTGTGAGCTTTTAATGGTTAAAAATTAAAGATATTTCAAATAAACAATTTTTTATGTTGTTAATTGTATTAAGGGTATTGCACATTTATTATCTGATTAATAATATTTTCCTTCAGATCCTGTGTATATCAGACATGAGCGTACAACTGTTCAACCGCAATAAAACTTACAGTAAAGAGAACGAAGAACCAAGAGTATTGTGAACAGGAGATCTACTAACCAAGGTTAATTCATTCAGGTTAAACCCATTACACAATTTGTGTATTGACTACAATAGAAAATAAACCCACAGGGACAGTTTTTTCCAAATCTGCATACAAATGGGTAAACGCTAGATAAAAATCTTGTCCAGGTTTCGGGATGGCAATTTAAATTATTCTTGAAACATTAACAAAAAAAGCAAACGCAAGAACACATACACACATACCCCATAAGAAAAAAAAAAATCAACCACCACCTAAAAACCGCGCACTTCTATTCTAGACATGTAGCAAATTCATTATATTTATTGTTTTGTAAAATTGTGTAATAGATCTTTATTACACAAACACCACTCACAGATTGTTCTTGCCAAATACCTATAACAATCCCATAATAACTACATTTCCTGATCAATTATCATCTACCGGCTAAGGACTGAAAACCTGGATAATTCTCTGTATGTGCTTCATGTGATTTGAAATATTACAAACGAACAGTTGAGCTAAATGGTAAAAAAAAGCAAAACACGCAATGAACATAAAAATTAGGTTGAAGAGTCTATAGTGTTTCAACATGCATAATGCACTTTATTCTTGGATATTAAAGGTTTAGGATGAATTAGAAAGAGATAAAGTAATACAACTTTTTTAAAAGCTTTTGAGATTATAAAAAAAATCTAAAATGTATTATAATAACCTGGCAGAAAGTATCATGAAACGAACAAAGCGATAGTCACGTCCGCTTTTCAAGTCATTCCTTACAAGACCTGTCATGCCATGAAACACAGCCTGTGCCAGCATGCCAATGCCAATATTTACAATGTATTCAAACATAATAAATTGTAGCTGTATTATTGAATGTAGCCAGAACTTGCCAAAACCCAGCTGTTTTGTCTTTTATGAAAACCCTGCGGTTGACAAACGCATGATTACCTGCTGATTGGGTGGGGTAATTCATACAGCAAACACTGTGCGCAAAATGTTCTTTTCACGTTTCGGGATTCGAATGCCATGAACATAACACTGCAAACTGCAGATAACACGTCCCTGGGACATGTAATGTTAGAGTTGTCCTACGCACAAACCAGGAATGATTGCGTTCTGTTGGACAATTTTGGCTTTCCTTCGATTCTTAAATGGAAAGTAATGTATGTTTCAGAAACCTTATATAGCTTGGGATTAAGGAATATGCAAATCCACTATTCAGCAAGTAGCAGACCCGTACACAGGAAGTTTAATTAGTTAAAAACACAAATTAAGCTTCTTGTGTACATTTGGAAGTTATGTGCTTGCAGTTTCATTCATTCCGATTGTTGTGACTACTTGCGCATGTGTGCTCCCTTTGTGCAGTACTGCTGTGAGCTACTTTGAAAAAAGCTGCACATACACACATCATACAAGAACATGTAAGGTTAAAAGGAAGCATTGCTCCATATGACAATACAAGGGTTAGGGATTTTTGATTATTTACTTAGTTTCCTCAAACAGAGAGGGATTCTCTTAAACAGATTAAATTATTGTTCCATATGTAAGGGGGGTCTACAAACAGTAGTTTGGGGTGCCAACGAGCTAAACCCGGAATCTGTACCCCAATTATTTCATTGTTTCTGTCCCTCTCCACAGTCAGTAACTCACACGCTGCAGCATGTCGATTGTGCTCATATTTCACGTGTCAGAACAGTATGTTTTCATCATATTAAGAGCTTTCCTCCAGAGGGCTGCTTTAAGCACCATTGTATATTTTACGGTGCAGAGTGTATTCTGCACTCGCTCTCATTTCTGAGTGTGGTTTCAAACGGCGCAAACACTGAAAACTCACAGTACCTAATTATAAAAATCAGACTTTGTAGATCATGACGGAGTGGGCCAATTCACGTGGTAACGGGTCTGCCAGTATCAATTTGTGTTGGGGAAAAAAAAAACAGCACACATAATAACAAACATATAATAAAATATACAGCTCAGATTATAAACTAGTTTGAACAGTGACGTTTTTATCTATGCGTCCTTCACCGTTATTGTGTCTGTCAATTACCTGCGGTTATAGATTTCAGCTGTGATGCACTGCAGAATATGTTTGCGCTCAACGAAGCGTAAAAATACCAAACAACATACTTAGTAGACTAACACATTACACTGTTGGGCAATCCTTTGCATTCTGGGGTTTGTGGTCTCAATTTTGCAATTCCCTAAAACTCCACACTGTTTTTGGGTTAAGTATTGAATGTCAATATTCCATTGCAGGGTCCTTCATATGAATATTTCCACAACCTAACAATACAGTTTTTAAATAGAGAAAATGTCAAATGTTGTGGTTCTGCTGTTATAGTTGTGATTTTAGATAAAATTACACAGGAAAAACACTTGTTCTTAATATAAATGGTAAAAGATGTGTAGATGATCTCATTAAAGTGTCAGCGTTTATGAAGGTAGGTGAAATCGCAAGAGAATAGAGTATTCTCTGCTATCTGACACTAAACTAGCAGGAAATTAATGTCACGGGGTAATAAACTACAGGGGCAACATCATAAGAGCGCCCCCCGCAGGATCTGTTATATATCTGTAGTGTAACAGTCAACTATGGACTGCCGTTTCAGAACATCTTTTATTTACATTATAGCCTCATCTTCATTAAAATAGAATATTACCTGTAGATAACTCCTTTGTTGTGTAGAAACATGAGGGCAGAGGTGATTTCAGCGCTATAGAAGCAGGCGCGGCCTTCGTCAAATCGTCGAGATTTCTGAATGTGAAACATAAGGTCTCCCCCGTTTACAAACTCCATGACAAAAAAGAGCCTGTCCTTTGGGGAGAAAAAAAAAAAGACAAAAAAAATAAAGATCTATTCACACACAGACAGACAGACAGAAATTAAAACTCTCATGGCACTAAAAAGTTACATTCCTGGTTCTCACTATTCCGCCTCTACGAGGCAATACATGCTGATCAGCCACAACATTAAAACCACTGACAGGTGAAATGAATAACATTGATTATATAGTTACAATGGCACCTGTCAAGAGGTGGGATATATTGGGTAGTTCTTGAAATTCATGTGTTGGAGGCAGAAAAAAATGGGCAAGTGACTCTGACAAGGGCCGAATAGTTATGGCTAGACGACTGGGTTGGAAAATCTCCCAAAAAAACAAGTCTTATGGGGTGTTCCCGGTATGCAGTGGTTAGTACCTACCAAAGTAAGGGGTGTGTGTAATTTGGGACGGAATTATTTCGGAACTTGTTTTATATATAATATCAAACCCAACCCGTGGATAGATTTAATCAACAAACCCAACAAACAGTTTATGTTACATAGAATGAATTTTAAATAAATCTGTAGGATACGCCTCAATAGCAGAAAACACTCTCACGTCTTACCCACCGTCTCATGTAATCTAAAACATGGCATCTGGCTATATGGAGGGCACATACATGACAGAGTCTGATTGCCATTGTTACAGTTTGTACTCCCAATTTATTCATGTATCTCAGATTCATAATTGATGGTTTACATTCCCATACAATTTATTTTTTCTAGTAACGGTTTCAAAATATTTTGCAATGTACTTAAGACTCCTCAATGTTTTGAAATTTGGCATATTTGATTGAAACTTTATTACAAAAAAATAGTAATACAGGATATAAGTCACATGTAATTTGTTTGTTTTTTTGACCCTCTGGTATCTTTTGCAGTCTATTAAAGAAACCAACTAATGTAACTTAACAGGTCTCCAAGGCAATAGGTCACATTATTAAGGATTTGTTGCCTGTGTACTGATCTCTGGAGTAGAGATGATGAATGATATGTACAGTACGAAATAGCTCACATGTGCACCTGACCTGACACATACATATTGATCATCATCTTTCATTCCTTAGTCACAAAGAGTAAAAATACCACATTCCTCATTCCAAACTAATGCTAGGGAACATTGGGAGGTCCTTTCCTGCAGCCCTAGCACCCGCCAAACTCTAAACACATTAGAAGGACAAGGACATATTTTAATGAGTTTGCTTGAATTACGAGGCAGAAACAGAATGCTTCTACAGGAAAATGTCACAAGTAAAAGTTTGCAATTAACATTGTAACTAAAATTAACCTTATCCAATCATAACCCCACCAAATGCACACTATGTAAAAATGAGCATAATAATATATAATCTAAAACTTACATTTTATCCACGTTTTATGTGTAATGGAAGCAAAGCAAGTGGTCTTGTGGATCCTATACCACCCACACGCCAAGCTTTAATTTCAGGATTTTCTAACCAGAGATGCTCACTTGAAAGACAAATTCTATATATATTCTCTATAAACCTTAATCTAAAATGCCACAAATGCAGCCCTTATTCTACATGGGTAAAAACAAACAAAAAAACAACCCATAGAAAATATTCCTTTAGACTGTTTGAACAAATTGCAGTCAGGGTACCCAAAAGCGCGTCCTCTGACGTTAACATGCAAAAACAAAAAACAAAACAATGCATACTCCTGCTAAAACAATTCCAATAGTGCAAATATTAGCAAGACTCCATTAAAGGACCACTATAGTCACCCAGACCACTTCAGCTCAATGAAGTGGTCTGTGTGTCAGGTCCCCCAGGTTTTAACTCTGCAGCTGTAAACAGTTTACATTGCAGGGTTAATCCAGCCTCTAGTGGCTGTCCTTTTGAGAGCCGCTAGAGGCGCTTCCGCAATGCTCAATGCGAAAATTGCATTGAGCACGCAGAACGTCCATAGGAAAGCATTGAGTAATGCTTTCCTATGGGCGGTTTGAATGTGCGCGCGGCTCTGGCCACACACACGCAATCGGCTCCACTCTGGAGCTGACGTCGGAGGGGGAGGAGAGGTCACCAGTGCCGAGGGAGAACAGCGCTGGATAAAGGTAAGTGGCTGAAGAGGTTTTTAATCCCTTCAGTCCAGTGCGAGGGGGGGCCCTGAGGGTGGGAGGGACCTAAGGACTATATAGTACCAGGAAAATTAGTTTGTTTTCCTGACACTTTAGTGATCCTTTAATGCAAGCATTAAAAATAATACAGAAAGCAGCATAATTCAGTTTTGCTTGTAGCCATAATTATAACTGCTAGGGTTTTATTTCAATTTTCATACACTCTAATAAATGAATATACACAATGAAAACGTGGTTGTTTTTTTTTTTGTCCTTGGATAACAACTAGGGAGTGAACGATTTAATTTTTCATGAGTTGATCCCTATTATCGGTCACTTTTTTGGGACGATTATTGATAACTGCTATTCTGTACATTTAAAGTTTTGAAAAAGCCACAAAATTTCTACACAAATCTGCCATTAATTGAACATGTTTATTGTTTAATACATTATCAAAGATCTCATCTGTGATGTCATACTCCATTAGAATACAAGGGATCAGAGACAGAGAGTGTTCATATCTCCCTGTCACTCGGTGTCTCCCCAGCAGCTCTGAACATCACCATACTGCCAAGTAATGATATATGGTAATAATTATACATCGTTGGGGTCAGTGATTTTCTTGCATTTAGCATGGAGGGGTAATGAACACAATTATTTAGTGGTATTTCAATCAGTGATGTCCCCTCTAATCCTTCAGGTATTTCACTGTTTTGTATAAACCAGACTATTTATATGTGATTTCAGCAAAAAATATTTAGTTTACAGCATTGTTACAATTCACATGTCCTTAAACTCACGCTCTAACCTCCTGCCACGAGCAGCACTCCACATTCGAGCATGCTGCCGTGAGGTTGCACAACATGGCACCTCATTGGCAGCCAGTTGGAAGTGGAAGACGGCGTGTATGTTGTTATTATTTTATTCCGTAGCGCTGTACAATGGGTGGACTAACAGACACATAATTGAGATCAGACCACTGACGTACAGGAACAGAGGGGGTTGAGGGCCCTGCTCGATGAGCTTACATGCTAGAGGGAGTGGGGTATAGTGACACAAAGGGTTAAAGAAGGGGAATTAAATAGTTTGTTACAGAAGGGTTTATTGAGTGCTTGGTAGGTCATTTTTGACAGGTGAAGGAACGGAGTCATGGGGTGAGAAACCTGCTGACAGTTTAATTGATACGCTTTAATGAAGAAATAAGTTTTCAAAGATTTTTTAAAGGAATGGAGGCTGGGTGAAAGTCTGATTGAGGAGGGAAGGGAGTTCCACAGAATAGGTGCAGCCCTGAAGAAGTCTTGAAGGCGAGCATCAGAGGTGGGGATCCGGGCAGAGGATAGGTGTAGGTCTTGGGCTGAGCGCAGGGGTCTCGACGGGACATACTTGTGTATGAGGGAGGATAGGTATGTTGGAGCAGCATTATGTAGGGATTTGTAAGCAAGTGCCAGAATTTTGAATTGGGCCCTATATCGACTGTTATCGGCAATTTCAGTAACTTTGTAGACCGATGCCGAATATTGGCTCTAATAATCGTTGGATCATTAGTGGGTCGAAGTGCAGAATTATTCTATTTATTTTGTTGCAATAATTGAAGATGGCCGTACTTTTTATATTAAACGGAGCCTTGATTAGCTAGTTTAACATATATTCTCGACTGTATACCAAGTACATGTTTTAGACGTGGAGAGGCTGACGGGCAAGAATTTACTAAAACAGTGGAGGTTTTAAAGTGCTATGATTAATCTGGTTTACAAGGGATACAGTTTAATTATTATTATTATTTATAAAGCACCAATACCTATTCATTGTGCTGGTAAAAAAAAAGACTGCACTTGCACGTGTACGTTTTTTTTTTTAATTTAGTTTTTTTACTACAATTTCCTTAGTACAAAGAAAAAGACTACCAACATGGTTTCTACAATAGGAATCTAAATTATAAGTAATAGAAGTAATCCAGCGTTGCGGAATTTGTTGGCGCTTTATAAATGCCAGTAATAATAATAATATAAATTCTAGGTATGGCTTTGTCAGGAAGCTTCAAGGACCCTTATACCTTTAGCGTTAATCCTTATGCAGATTAAATCATTTGGTGGGGAGGCATCTCTGTCATTCTCCGATGGCCTCTCAAAGATGGAGAAGTAGGTGCCAGATAACTATTTAGATCGTAAGATCCCATGGGAATAAGACCATCAAAGGCTCCTGTATTTGTTTGTCAAATTTTGTCAGTCTCAGGTGTATCGTACCTTTGTCTTTTTACTTGTGTCAATTGTACTTGTGTACAGTGCTATGAAATATGTTGAGCTTTATAAATAAAGTATAAAAATAAAGTTTCTCTTTAAATCTAAGTACTTGTGGGTAATTTTGAAAGTACAGTTTTATAGATTAGATGAATACCTACTTAAATGCGAACACACATTGTTTGGTTAGTGGGTTCAATTTACCCTAAAACGTAGAGAATATATTATGAATACTATGCATTCACTGTGGCTTTTGGCCGTCCCAGGGTAAGCAGTCAATCCATTTGAAAAAACAGTTTGCACTACAGCGGGCTGCAGTGGTTATGGTACTTTGAGCTGTTTTGTTTTTAAATAACGTCAGTACAAAAGCCCAAACTTTTATTAATCTTTGCAACAGGGATATTGCAACATGTTTATTTAAGCAACATACGTGAAGAAAAAAAAAAGAGTTAAAACAATATATTATTTGATGTTCTGTCTGTGGTTATCAGGAATGTTTTTTTGTACCATTACAAAACTTTCACATAAAAATAAAACTTTTTATTTTCATTTTCTCGGCTCTATGACGTATGCAGGAACAAAGAAATGAATCAACAGGAAATCTGGTTAAAGACATTCATTATACATTCTATAAAGGAACAGCAACAACAAGTGAAATAGCTCTGTTGGCTATTGCACCGATGGTGAACCTGCCCAAACCTCATGGATGCAGGTTGTATTCCCAATTGGTCACTTCAGTGTTTATTCTTTCTGATGTCAATAGCTACCAAAGTCTTGAATATCATTATGGAACATGGTATATACAGCACTAGTTACATAGCAAGCCCAAAGTGATAACTGATCAACCACCTGTATCTTCTACCAGGCCAGCAGAAGTCATTTGGTGAATATCCGCCATTTTTTCTTCTTAATTGAGTTCATTTAATTTATCCTTTTTTCCCTCCTATTTTTCTCTTGAAAGTGGTCACAGTTATAGTTTGATAATATGTCTCTACAAGATGGGAAGGAAAAGTCTGGACCAAAGTGAACATGCTGCATATTTTATCACTCCATAAACACAGGGAGTACAGAGTGCATTGAGGTAATAAAACTGTCCGGGCGTCATCCATGCAGAAAGCCATAGCAAAACACTGGAGTCTTCACTCTCCTGTCTAAGTAAATCTAGCACAAAGACACTCTGTTTGGCCAGGGAATTCACTGCTTTCAATTATGTTAAACAATTTATTATGAATTCAGAATCTTACATTTATGAGAAACCTAACACAGCAATTGTCCAGGCAAAAAAGAGCAATAGTTAGAGCAATCGCAATTCAACCAGTAGAGGGTTTCTCCACATGTAGCAATTATCCCTAGAAATTCGCCATTTTTGAACAGATACATTTCCCCCCCCTTAATCTCCAAAACTAAAATGACCCGACAGAAATAAAATGATTTGGTTCCGTCACTGCATTTCTACTTACAACTAAAAGCTAAACTTAAAAAAAAGTTAATTAATGGGCATTAATATCCTAAAGTCCAAAGTCCCCAATTGAAGCCCCCTATAAATCAGGCTAAAGGGTTTCTTAAGTCCGATAGATTTGTTATTTTATGAAAATTATGGGTGGGGTGGGTTTTTTTTGTGTGTTTTATTATTTTGTTTAATACTCTTGGCCCCTAAAACTTGTATATAACCACTTTCTGCTATGCAAAAGGACCAATTAAAAAATATTTTAAACAAAACAAATTCATGACAAAAAAAATAAAAAATCTACCTCAGAATTTTTTTTTCATATATTTTGGGTGGGAGCGTCAAAACAGAATACATTATGCTATGATTAAGTAACATTAAATGGTCTATCGCTTTACAAACTAAACTGATATCAAACTCCTGACAAGCCAAGAGGAGTTTCCCAATATAAATAAATACTAAATATACATTGTATAAATGCACGCCCTGGCCTTAGCTCACCCTATGTCTCGATCATTATTTGCAATGCATCGAAGGTCAGAGTTCTGAACGTCATTGGCACTTAAATAGGGCATAGGTTGAATTTAAAGGCATTTCCAAGATGACCACTTGAGTTTTGGCATTCCTGTACATTAGACGGCAGTCACATGCTGCAGGCACTCAGGACTGGTCTGACAACTATTCTGCGATGGTAAACAACATGTCAGGGAAACTGGAAACCTGTCATTTATGATAAGGGTGCAGCAGTTGTGGTTTACAATGGGTTTAGGAGAGCAAGGGACATTGAGGTCGATATGTGCTAATTCTGGCACTGGGTGAGTGCTTTCTGGAATTGCACAGAGTCCATTATACGAAGCATCTGCATTAGTCGAAACTCCCAGCATGCAGTGCCAGCTGGCTGCACTGGTATTTTATTAAACCATTTCACTGCAAAAGGCCAGAGCTAAGCTATCACAGGAAAGGCCAGAAGTGACAGTCCTGCAGTTCGTTTCACTATAACTCCCAGCATACTCAGCATCACGTGGAAATACAATGCCAGCCAACCTGGAGTTTCACTACAGCTCCCAGTATGCTTTGCTGTTCCTATTCCATTCGCTGTTGGTATTCGAACAATATTACATTAGACTGAACTGCATATCTTAAAGGGACCCTATAGGCACCAAACCACAAGCAATTTTGGTGTGTTGATCATGTCCCTTTCTGACTCACTGCTTCTGCATTTAGGAGTTAAATCACTTTTGTTTCTGTTTGTGCAGTCCTAGCCACACGTCCCCTGGCTGTGACTGACACAGCCTGCATGAAAACAAAATGGCTTCATTTTCAATCAGATGGTTTACTTCAAGGGTTTTTATCTCCTGCTCTGTAAATTTAAATTTAATTACACAAACGAGCCTCCTGCAAAGTCTAGCAGGTTATTAACAGAGAAGGAGATAGAAAATCTACTTGTAATAAAGGAAGTGTAAACATTAGATCTCTCTTTCCAGGAAGTGTTTAGTGAGGCTGTGTACGTTGTTTTGGTGACTATTAATAAAATTAATTTGATTAAATATTTGACATCACAACAATGACAATATTATGGCCCTATTTTGACAGACACACAAAGATAATACAGTGCCACACTTTGTGATTACATTGTATGTGGAAAAATAAACAAGTAAAATCTAAAAAAAAAAAACTAAAAACATTGTCCAAAGGAACTTGATGAAAACAAATAAAAGCAGGGAGTAAAGCCAAGTTAGGAAAAAGTAAAAGTCGATTACAGAGTAAAAGTTCTTAATTAAGAAAAACTGTCAAACTCTAACAGAAGGTCCTAGAGTGTTTGTGATGGAGACATAAAGGGACACTATAGTCACCAGAATAACTACAGCTTAATGTAGCAGTTCTGGTGTCTGCAGACTGTCCCTGCAAGCTTTTCAATGTAAATGCAGCCTTTTGCCAGCCACTAGCGGTGCTTCCTGTGTCAGCTGTGCATGGAGACGCTGGATGTTCACCATAGAAATGCTTTAATTTAATGTATCTCTCTAAGGAGATGCTGACTGGCGCAGTGTGGTGTTTCCTGTGGCAAAGCATTGGATTGGCAAAGATCATCAAAATCTATGATTTCAGCCACAGAGGCAGAGTGGGGGGTGGGGCCGGCTTTGGCGAGACTGGCACGGCCTGAGAATAAAGGGAAGTACAAAAAAATAATAATAATCACCTTTTCAGATTAATCCTAAACAGCCACACAGGCAATATAGTGACAGGATTACTTGTTTGTGTTCTTGACACTAAAATGTTCCTTTAATTATTGAAAGGGCATTAATATGAAAAATGTAATTCTACTGCAGTCTTCATAAATCATAAATTTAGGATAGTTTGTGTATTTTCTCTCCCCCACCCCCATATCTATAAAAGGGAGGCTATTTGCAGAAACATGATGAAAGCAAAACCAAGGGATCACTTATTTTCAAGGAAGTTCCTTCTCAAAAGGCCAGTTGCCAGTGAGAACTGTTTTTGCTTGTCGGATAAAGCTGTTTACTTGCTATAAAAATGCAATATACAAACATTTCCTGCAGGACCCAGTTCAAAAAAGTGCATTGTGTTGCTGAATGCAGGCATCGTCTGCCCTCTACTGGACATTCACAAGTCCCAATTCTTACATTCATTATTCAATTTTATTTGTTTGTTTTTCCCTATTATTCAAATATATTATATGGGCTATTTAACCCTTTGAGAGAGGGGGTTCATATCATCCTTTGAGTAGGTATTAAGGGCAACATTATAAAGTTATAGTTACTTACAATGAGCAGCCACGAATGTGAATAACATTGACTATATTGTTACGATGAAAAAAGGGGAATTGGGGGTACAACTGGAACATATATTTCTCAGCAGTGGGGCTGCCGTAAAGCCCACAATTTATACAAAATACAGAATAAGGACAAAAGCGCAAAGACAAAACAATACAGTTTTACATTTCACAAGTCTACATAAATCCCCTATCTCAGCAAACAAATATGGGTATTCAGTTCCACCATATGGCCATATTGTGTTAAGCCCACCACTATGCCACCGTACCCCAATACACTAATTTTAATAAGGGAGACAAATCAAATTGTGCTATTGCTAAATGAACTAAAGTGTATTAATTCATCTGTAAGAGCATTGTGAATATATATCATGAAAAATAAATGTGATAAACACAAGTCAAGAAAATACAGTGTCATAACTAAATACTAGATACCACGGGACATGTTCACAGGTCTCATGGAGTCCATGCCTCAACGCATCAGAGCTGTTTTGGCAGCACAAGGGGGACCTACAGGATATTAGGCAGGATATTTTACTGTTGTGGCTGATCACGGTATACTTTGTAGTGTTACCACTGAACATCCAATACCTCTGAGCAAGACTGACACAGTTCAAGGTCTAGGCCCCCAGAGCCTGTCCCAGAGTCTGCCCACAGGGCCCATTCTGAGTCGGCCCACAAGGATGCCCTGTGTGTGTAGTGGATGTGGTGTGTATAGTAAGTATAGATTGCACATTTGTATAATGGATGTAGTGTTTGTGTAGTGGATGTAGTGTGTGTATGGTGAATGCAGTGTGTGTTTGTGTAGTGGATCTAGTGTGTGTATGGTGAATGCAGTGTGTGTGTGTTTGTGTAGTGAATGTAGTGTGTGTGTATGTATGGTGAATTCAGTGTGTTTATGCAGTCGATGTAGTATGTGTATGATGAATGGAGTGTGTGTTTGTGTAGTGGATGTAGTGTGTGTATGTGTAGTGGATGTATTGTGTTTATGATGAATGCAGTGTGTGTATGTCTTGTGGTTTTAGTGTCCGTATGGTGAATGCAGTGTGTGTTTGTGTAGTGGATGTATTGTGTCTATTGTGAATGCAGTGTGTGTTTGTGTAGTGGATGTATTGTGTCTATGGTGAATGCAGTGTGTTTGTATAGTGAATGTAGAGTGTTTATGGTAAATGCAGTGTGTGTTTGTGTAGTGGATGTAGTGTCTGTATGGTGAATGCAGTGTGTGTTTGTGTTGTAGTTTTAGTGTGTATAATTGTGTTAAATGGAAGCTGTACAACAGATAGCAACATATATATTAGGTTCACCTACAATTCGGTCTCACCTGAGATTGGAAGCAACAGAATAGCTGTGTTAGAAAAGGATGATTGCACGCCAAGGACAGGATGCGCTTCTCAGTCATCGTACACTCCACATCGTCATCCTGGAGAATCACATCCTTCTTTAACACCTTCACTGCATAGAGATTGTCCAACTCTTTGGATCTAGCAAGCATGACCTATAAGAAATTACAAAGTTAATGAGGGTTTTTTTTCAGAACCAATCTGCTCTTCCTCCTTGCTTGGTCCTCATTGTGAGTCAATGAGAACAATTGTTCTTTGCGAGCATATCAGCTAAACAGCAATGCAACTCCATTTAATAGTACATTGCCATGCATGCGCAAACTCACCAAAAGTTACAGCAAGCAACCATTGACATTCAAGATGTTAACGACTACATCTCTCCGGATGCTTTGCCAGCATTATGTCTGGAAGAGCATTATGGGAGATGTAGTTCACAACATAAGGAGTGTCAAAGGTTGCCAATCCCAGCCTACGGCAGGAGATCCCACCTTAGTCCTCAAAGCACAAGAATCAATGATTTCAAAATTCTTTTCCATTGAGGATCCTGAGAAAATCTGGACTGCTGGTTGTGATCACTGGCCCAGTGTGTCGACCATGTTTACACATACACCAATCATGCTTTATTTTTATTCTACTCTTTATATTAACAGCTGCTTTGGAAGAATTACACAGCATTCCATCCATTCTGCAAACATCTCTCCGCTTACGTAGAATTAATCTCATCAAAATATCAAAAATCCCATTAGCACACATATGGTTCCTAATGCAAAGCACATATACAGGCATCAGTCATCCCTTTTGCAACCCATCTGCCAATTTCTTCTACTGCTCTACATTAATTCAGACACATTTTTTTTTTAAAAGGTGACAATATCCCCTCCACCCAAAATAAAAAGGCTGGAACTCAAACAAATTGGTAAACTGGTAGTAGATGGGAAGGGGTTGTCACATAGTGAGTAAGGAACAAGGACAAGCAAAATCAGCTCGATATCTGTCCTCCCCCAACAATGGCTTCCTGTGCTTTTAAAACCACAATCCCATTTTCATATCCCTTAATTACTTTTAACGGAAGTTTAGCCTTTATTGTCACAGCTACTGATCATGGTTTCACCTCCGACACTTCTGTCTGGCCAAGCCTTACCTCCTTCTTCCTCTCCTTCTCTATCCATTTCCTTCTTAATTTTAATCGTTCTTAATTTTAGCAACCACCCTCTAATTTTGTTCCAGTACATACTGTAAAATAGCCACCACACCAGCATACAGTAACACCGACCTCAGACTCTCAGTGGTTCTAACCCAAAGCTTTTATAGCGTAATTATCTTTTTATTCTCATTTTGACATTATAGTGAATGTTCAAAAAACACATCTTGGACCCTTAGATAGACTAACAGCAACACACATCAATCAGGGATTCGGCAATGTGTCGGGAAAGTTATGAACATACTAACCTTTCCAAAACTGCCTTTCCCCAGCACTCGAATAAACTCGAAGTCCTCAATCCCAAATTTGTGCTGAGAACAGTTTGAGTACGTGTCTTCATCACTGGATTGGTTGCCAGTCACAGAACTTGTGTCAAAATGCTTTTAGGAAACATTAGCAACATGTTAGCTTTTTCTGTGAACAACTATAATCCACAGCAATATTCTTACATTGAGTATAATGTAGTTATAGTTAATGGAGTATTTTTGTAATGGACTCATATGTGTATAGGAGAGTTTGTTCTTCTCTATAAACAACAATACATTGAGTGCCATCTAGTGGACAAACAGAGTAAAAAATGGACCTTAAAAAGGATAGAACAAGCAAAACACTTCAACTATTTCTACAGTTTACCAGCAAGGAACAATGCAGAAGGAGGTCTGAAATCCTTTATTGCATGTTTGTAAATTTCTTTATTTTAAGTAAGAGTTTTATAGACTATGTAAACTATGTTTGTATGATGCTGGGCTTTTAACGCTCTGTTACGTGTTATTTTCATTATGTACAAGATGAGAAAGAAGTGAATTTTCATTTTGTGGGTTTCAATATATGGCACAGTACTTTTATCTGGTTTTTGGGATCACTTCTGGGATTCTCTTTTTTGCTTTGTGGTGGTTCATTTGGAAAGGAAGTTCACATTGTACGTTATTTAAAATGCCATGCACACTTGGTTGGGTTTACATTTGCATAGTGTCTCGATGGCTTATGTACTCTGTAACGGTGTTTTCAAGTTACTCATTAACGCTTCCACTATTCGTAATCTATGAAAATAATCATGGACAAGAGCGCCGTGTGAGATCTCTTCGAATGATGCAGGTAGATTTACTTAGATCTATTATAGCGAGGGTAAATGGCACATTACATGCAACCACGGAAAGAATACTGGAGTGTTTTTTAAAAATCCACTAAACATTTTTGTTTCTTCTATCAAGTCAGATACACATTACATACTGACTGATGAACCAATATGAAATAAATAAATAAATAACGCACAAGCCAAAACACAAACAAACAAAATCCTACGCACAGAGTAGTCAGTCACTCAGAAAGGTTGAGGACATAATATTGTATACTGGAATACCGCAGGAAAGTTACAAAATAAAAAAATAAAAATATTAAAAATGATTGATAGTTAATTCAGGAGTGATTTTTTATTTATTTCTTTTTAACTTGCATATTTTTCTCTCTCTGCTAGGTCAGATCTAATGTCAACAAATCCATCATGGGTACTGCGGTGCTTAATGTTACGATGGAGCAATACATTAAGTGAAACGGTGACTTTTAAAGTAGTACAGAGCAAAAGTGAAAATCAAATGTGGGCAGTTGTAGGTGTATAATTATAGTACATCAGGAAGAGATCAGTGATCGTGTGCAGACATTATGACTGTACATCCTTTCTATGGGTTATTCAGGAAACGAGCTTCATTTTCACACACTTCCTAATATATATTAAATAGTTCCACATTTAGTGATCCATTCGTCAAATTCTGCTTTAACTTGGTTCTGGGTACTGGCTCAGGTTAGTCATGATGTCTCTTCCTGCTGCTCCATTTCCCCTCAATAGGCCATCCGAATGTTAAATTCTCCTAGTACACGTTAATGCAAACTCTAAATCAATACTATGTTTTGTTTCACTTAATATAAAAAAGTAGCAAATTGAGAATCAAATTGCAAACTTTAAAGGGACACTGCAGGCCCTCCAAACTCTTCAGCTATTGAAATGCTTTATGTTTGAATAAATTTATGTTCAATTTACAAATAGTGCTGATTTCAAAAGAATTTCACACTTTTATAAATGAACCTTGTTACACCCCCTGGCTGTCGATCAGATAACGGTCCTGTTACTCCCTGGTTTGGTTACCTCAGTGGAGATGTATTTAAGAGGCAGCAATTGCTCAGAGCACCTGCCTTGCAAAGATTTCTAATTGAGCTGCATTGGGAAGTCTATGATTGGACAGACACAGAAAGTCTGGGCAGGGTTTGAAGGGGAGGGCTTGCAAAGGTCACAAAAATGATATCTGCAGGTTTTGCAAGCAGATTTTTAGATTTACCCCCAATTAAATGTTTTCATTGGGAGTAGATCTACTAAAATAGTGATTTCATTTTTTTTTTTGTCCCTTTAAGCCAACATAAGTAAGTTTATTTGGAGAATTTGTCTAAATCAATTGTTTTTGTCCTAAATTTTGCAATTCAACAAAGTTGGTGTTGCGTGAATAAAGCCCTTTATTTCATACGCTATATATGGCACGGGTGCTTGTGATGCAGTGATCTATGCAACTCTAAAACCCTATCCTCTTGCTTTGATTCCTTAAATGGTCAGATAAGCCTTAGATGTCCGTGTCTGTGTTTGATTAACAGAATGGCTTTGAGCATCTTCAAACAGCATTACTAGATAATATTAATTTTCTTGCACATTCATTAGATTACCAAATTAAACTGCATCCCCAGTCAGTTACAGACACTTATATACTGCTCGAGGACAGAAATTTATGTTTTGTTTTTCTTTTTTCATTTAAATGCTTGTGAGCTTTAGTTAACCCTTTCTGTGCTGTATGTATGGCATATGCGTGTGTTTGAAACTGCTGCAGAAATTGCTGGGCACACTCATGTTCATGGAGAATGTGTCTGTAGATGTCAGACTCCGAGCTCGCGGATGCCGTGTGAAAAATTCGTACAAGTCTTCAGGTCTGATTAAACTCGTAGGAAAAAGGTAACACGATACCTGTTTGAAAGCGATATTCCCTGGTTGAAGACCCATTCCAGCCAAAGCATTTGCCAGTTCCACGGAATTCACGCCACAGTTGTTTGCCACGCTTGCTTCACACCGTTTGTGTACATTCAATTTGCATACTAAGGGGTAGAAAGTAAAAACAAATATTTTCTCTAAAACAAGTTAAATTGAACATAAAATATCAAAGGAGCCGATTTCTCTCCCATACACACATTTCTATCTTTAAAACTCGAAAAACGTTAAAGTTAAAGGCAACCCAGGTAGTGTAAATTACTGAACTACATTTCCCATGATCCTCGGCATGTGTAAAGGTTCACTTAGCATCACCGTAAAACTAGCAAAATTCTGCAATGTCAGTGTTAGCCATCACTAGCCTCACCAGTAGGGACTACAAAAGAACCACGTCACATAAAATAGATAAAAGTAATACAAAAATTAAATGTATTATACTAATCCAAGGCGGAAATACAATATTAGTAATATGTTCCCTTTTGAATTTCACACAGTGGATAGAATTTTATGAAACATTTCTCTTCTTGGCCATTTAAATTTCTCTCGTAGCTGAAAAATCTACCAGCAACTCGCAGAACGTTGCACAAACAAGGATATGAAACAGAAAGAAGTGAATTATAAAAATAGGATATAAAAATAAAAGTTGCTCAAACCTACAGATTCAAGAAAATTGGTGTGAAGAAACAGCAGAGATGGTCCAGGCACTCAGAGGTTAATCAACAGACAGTGTTAATTGAATATCCTGTATTGAACAAGAACAAGAGTACACAGTATTCCATTAAAACTGCATATTCATTAACCCCAGAGTGACAGGAACATCTTTGCTGTTTCTATAGAGGATGGATCCCACCTTGTGATTTGGGTATAGAAGAGTGCGGTTCCTGTCTTTTTTGAAGCAATATTGAAAATGCCTGTGCAGACCTTCAGGAAAAGTTAAAGGACCACTATAGTGCCAGGAAAACATACTCGTTTCCCTGGCACTATAGTGCCCTGAGGGTGCCCCCACCCTCAGGGTCCCCCTCCCACCCGGCTCTGGAAAGGGGAAAGGGGTTTAAACTTACCTTTTTCCAGCACTGGGCGGAGAGCTCTCCTCCTTCTCTCCTCCTCCGTTCCGCCCCGTTGGCTGAATGCGCACGCGCGGCAAGAGCTGCGCGCGCATTCAGCCGGTCGCATAGGAAAGCATTTACAATGCTTTCCTATGGACGCTTGCGTGCTCTCACTGTGAAAATCACATTGAGAAGCACGCAAGCGCCTCTAGTGGCTGTCAATGAGACAGCCACTAGAGGCTTTGGGGGAAGGCTTAACCCATTAATAAACATAGCAGTTTCTCTGAAACTGCTATGTTTATTAAAAAATGGGTTAACCCTAGCTGGACCTGGCACCCGGACCACTTCATTAAGCTGAAGTGGTCTGGGTGCCTAGAGTGGTCCTTTAAGTATTGAACTGAAGTATATTTCACTTAAAATGTGGAAAACCCACAGCCTACGCAAGAGGCCTGCTCAAGAACAGAGATTATAAAGCAGAGTATTTGTTTTAGAATCCTTTCTTCTTCAAGACAAAAAAACAAAATGTTCCAATTTTGCAGACCAGAAAATGTTCCCATTTTTGGTAAGCAATCTATGTAGCCTATACAGGGATTGAAAGAAAAATCCTTTTCCAAAAAAACTCTCCCCACTATTTAAAAGTGTTCACATTTTCTGGTTACCTGGTTATATCATTAAATATATCTTACTTTTACACTGCAGGCCCTGCTTCAGCAGTCCCCAAAGTAGAGAGCCACAGTGGTCACAAAACGTCGGTACTTTATAGTTGTGGAATCGGAAATTGTGCGGCAAGTTGATCCCAAACCTCTGTTCATATATCTAATAACAGAAAAGAAGAAATTTAATAAGCATTTATTGAAAATAAAACAAAAAACATTTTTTATGTATATATTAAAGTATATTATTTCTAATTTGCCTATATTTTTAGTGAACAGCTTTTTGTTTTTTTGTTTTTTTTTTATAGCAAACGTTATTGTCGCTATTCAGTAAAGTTTGCTACTTTTTCTGACACATTACTAACCCAATCTTTAAGGAAGAAGAAGATCTTCTGATCTTTAAGCCAACAATGGCTAAAGCTATGCATATAGGTAGGAGAGCATTCACAGTAATCATCTGGGGTGGTCAAATTGTAAATCTCCAGTTGTTGTGGAACTCCTGTGATGCTCTGATAACCTCAAAGGCAACCCTGAACTAAGACGTTTGAAATTGCCGGCAAAACTGACATGATGCACCTATAATTCAGCTTCCCAACACCATGGACGTAGAAGAGGCACATTGAAAAGCACCCAATAACCTTTCTCTAAGCTTATGGTGACGTCCAGTAGCTGTTGATTGACATGCGAGGTCTTGGTGAAATAATAAAGTATTCAGTTTGGAATAAGCTGCAGGCTATGATGAGATGAATCCATACAATGTAAAGTGAGACTTAGAACCCGAGGACGTAAGGTAAGATTACCACCTGTAACTATTCACAGGGCCCACAATGCTTTACTGATGCAAATGAACACAGGGAGGATTACAGAAGAAAAAATTAACATTAAAGTTCGAGGGTACAGTCTGAATCTTCTGGTAACACCCCAACTTATGTCAGCGAGACCACGGGAGCCTACACAGACATTGTCTAGCCATCAGCAATACGCCTTTTTCACAGTCGCCAATAGTGACAGCTGGGGGAACTGACAAAACTTGACTGCAAAAGCTCTGCATTTTGTCAAGATTTAGAAAAATTTATAAAATTGAATAGTCCCTAGTTTGTCTTATGATAACTTTTGACTGAATTGGAATTTCAGTGTAATTATAACAGTCAATGTGAGTATTTTGTAATGATTTCAACGCATTTTTTTTTTTTTTTTTAAAGGTAAAGAGAACTTGTGTTCTGGATATTTCCTTTTATTTACACCAGTCAGTAGTACTGCTGAGATTGCTGCGCTGACATTAGCAGGTATTACCGGCCACTAGGCACGCCCAACGACTTGAGAAGTCAGGGATCATGCTCCCACGAGTCTGTGCACACATGCATAATTTGAAGCAAATGATTTTCACATACTTCAATCCAAAAACACCCGCACTAGTGTGTGAGTGGAAAGGAGGAGGGAGGGGGAGGTTGCAGCTATGCCATATACAAAAGCGTTTTAATCAAGGTGGTAGGGGCGCAGGGACCCAGCCTATCTGCAATGAAAGCACCCAATATCTTTAAATACATTTCTAGAAACAAAAGTACTGGGGAAATAGATTTAAAACAAAACAAACAGAAAATATATTTAAAATTGAAATAATTGTGTCCATTTGGAGTTGGGTAGCTGCAAGGTGGTGCCACCTATCTCCTGGCCTATCTTGCTAAGTAGCACAAATATATCTAATATCTATTAATAAAGGTGTGCGATCATGTCTTTGTCATTCAGAGGACACCGGTGAACGACATATACTAATGCATTTCTGTGAACTCATATTGGCACGAAGCAAGACAGGCATTAGCAAACACATTGTTAATTAGTGGCTAGACCACAAGGGATGGCGCAACAGCCACATTAAACACTACCGTTCATACAGCAAGGGTTGCCGTTAGTTCATAAACTGGCCCTGATGTAAGTCTGGTAGGCAAAACTTCAATGAATAAGTATGTTTTATTTAACATAAATCCTAGAAGAAAGATTCATATTTTAAAGACTAAGTTCACGTAAACCTGCTCAGGCACAACGTGTCACTAATAACAGCTGGGCCAGCCAGGCTTTAGAGGGTTGAGCCTCAAGGAGGCATGGTCCCCTGTTGGCAGACAGACAGCGGAGGTAAGTTGAATGTAGCCCAAAAAAATCTGGTCATTCTTATCTTTGGCAGGGGCAGTATAACTTGGGATCGACCTTTTAGCTACCCTTGTTGTAGAGACTGTCAGAAACAGAGTTGTTGGCAAATGTTAATGCAGCCTAACACCTGTACCTGCCACTAGCACCACTGCGTAATGGTCACTAAATTAACCTGGACGGACATATAAAGATGGACTAATGTGGCTGAGCTGTTCACGATGGCCAAATAATGACAAATGGAAAGAAGGTGGCTCAGAGAACCACTATGCTTTGATTCACATATGAAGACAGAGAGACATTTCTTGACAATAGTAAGAATGAACATAAAAAGCAGGATGCGGTTTTGGAGGAGATTTGAATAAAGAAAAAAAAAAAAGCGAATGCAAAAACCACAGAAGGCTGCAACGTTAACCACTATACGTCACCTTTGTTTCCACTTTGTCTGTGTTGTTGTTCCTGCAAGTGCAAGCTGTGACGATCAACTGGTGGCAACGCTTGTGGACAACACACGTGCAAACTGCAGAGTAAAACACACGGCAAGTTTGTACATTACTCACATAAATAAATTCAATTATCGCAATTTTAACATGAGACACAAACAACACGCCAGTGTTATATATGGCAATTACCGCAGTACAGCTACCATACTGCATATCTCTTTATAGGGGGCTTGAAAAACAAACAAACAGAAAAAAAACTAAAAAATGGATTTGTGCTAGCAAAAACAAACAAACAAAAAATTTCTATTAAAGGAAGAACCAAAATATGGTGTGTGGTACACGGTAATGCTGTGATGCTCTGTAGCATTTGTACTGTTTTACTAATTTATTTGGTAATTTAATAAGGTCACCACATGCTATTTTCAATACACCTTGACCTTCATTTGTCCTTAGTTTTTACCTCTTCAACTGGCAAAAAAGGTATCTAGTCTATTGTTTACCATAAAGCGGTAGAATGTTTTTTTCTGTGATTTTACTTAGAATGGAAAAATAAAAAAGGTCACACCGAGACAAGCAAAGCAAGCAATTTGAGATCTAAACATGGTTATAAATGTAGAAAACACAAAAAACAGTACAGCTGGTCCATATATCCATCACGGAAATTGTTCAAACCTCTGGGTTCAAGTTCTTTTCCCAGCACGATCAACTTTGCCTGTAGTCCCTTTGACATCAACAAAAGGAGTTCCATTAAGATAGAAAGTAGTAAAAAGGGTAGTTTTCGTATCGATTAATTTAGCCAATGAATCAGTTGAGAGTGTGGGCCATAGTGCTACATTTACGATAATTTACTTTATGTTTATTGTGAAAGTACGCAATGCTTTCATGGGTAATAATAGTCACACAAAAAAAAAAAAAAAAAAGTACAGTAATTTCTATTTAAAGTGTGACAAAAGATAATTCACATACTTTAAAATCTATTTGGTGGCAAAAATTAATTTGGGAGATGAATACCGCTGTCAAATTTGACAAAGACCAGGGTCCCATGCTGACAAAGTATTCAGCGTAGTTCCCACAGTGGCTGAACGTGTATTTATTATTTTAGTTAATTTGATGGCTGCTCTCTTCAACACCAAATTCCACAATTAGAATGGATTTTTACTTGGTGTGGATGGGCCGGCTGGAAGTACTCTCTTCAGGCAGAAAGTTGTATCAATTGGCCAGCTCTAATCCTATACAGTGATTTGTGTAACGAGTAAAATAAAGGTGTTGAAGATATGTGGATCACCACCACAATTTGTTATTGCTATGAATACCATAAGTCTACTTTTTTTGTCCTGAAACCAGCGTGCAGTATAATTTTACTATAAGGCACATCCAACAACCAAACATAAGTGTATACAGGCTCTTCCATATTACCTTGGCATTGATATCCTTGCTTGCCAAATACTCCCCTGTTATAAACACACAAAAACAAGTTATAAAGACACTGTAGATCAGCAAGAGAGTTACAGGTACATCTTTACATAACAAGGATTTACATTTATTTGATTCTAAATAAAAGGGAACTTAACACGGAAATGTTATTCTGCATAATTAGAACTTTGTTTTTCTAGTGAACTTACATTCACAAACCTGGCAAAACTGATAGTGGCATTTACCGGGAAATACGCTTATAAAAAATAAAAGTGCAAAACACCTTGCCTTCAGCATACAGGTAAAAATGTTCTAAACATAACATCGCTGTTACATCAGGTTGTAAGAATGAGAAGTGTCCAAAACAAAATTTCAAAACACATGGACTTTCTTTACGTATGTTAAGACTTAGTCTAGTCCTTATACTTCAAAATATACAGTGGTTTAATAAATATTACATTAAAGGGACACTCTAGTCATCAAAAGAACGTTTGCTTAAGGAAGAGGTTTTGGTGTATATATCATGCCTTGCAGTCTCACTGCTCAATTCTCTGCCATTTATGCCTCTCTGGCCACACCTCCCCTGGCTGAGACTGAAAAAAAAACCATTTCATTTTCAAGGTGTGATAGCACAGCATGTTTACTTTAGAAGTTTTTATCTACCGATCTATTAATTGAACTTTAATCACACACAGGAGGCTTCTGCAGGGTCTAGCAAGCTATTAACAGAGCAGGAGATGAGAAAGGATAAATTAAACAGAATGTGCAATAGATAAAGTTTAAACATTAGATCTCTCTTTACAGGAAGTGTGTAGGGAGACTGAGTGGCTCACATGCTGCGAGGTGTGACTAGGGCTGCATAAACAAAGTAATTTAACTCCTAAATGGCAGAGAATTGAGCATTAGACTGCAGGGGCATGATCTATACACCAAAACCCCTTATTAAGATAAAGTTGTTATGGTGCTTTAGTGTTCCTTTAATATATTTTAGAGGATACATTTTCTCATTTTCCAGTTTATGCACCATACCATGCAATATTAATGTATGAATTAGATGGTGCTATATAGCCGAGAGACTTTTTAAATTTTTAAGAACATGCTGTAAAAGAATAAAAAAATGCTAGTTTATACATACTCACTCTCTCAAAAGTAGCTCAGAAAGCAGCCTTATTTTTACATTGTAACAGAGGATCTAGCTATGGAAACAATTGACATACCATGATTTTCAGTGTGTCTTGTGTTTGTTGTGGGTTTAAGGTCTCAGTAAGAACATTTTCGTGAGCTTTTATAAACGGTCACAAACACAGCTTGTGGGGTATTGTAAGTTATTATAACAATATACTCAAGTCTCCGTTATTAGAATCTTATTGACGATAGTCACTCAGGAACCTCAGTAATCATGTTTTATCCTAAACAACATTAGGAGAATAAATCAGATAAATGATAAAACCCCTTACCAGATGAAATCTTTGCAGTGAGAGCAGTATGTAGGTTGACGGAGATAGGTTGCCATAAACTTGTGTCCATTCACTTGGTGCACCCTCCTCCTCATGGCCCTCTGACGCTTGCGGGTAAAGTGTTTAAGAATCCTTCCATCATTTAAGGTACCTAAAAAAAAACAAAATACACACAAGAGGCGTTGAACTATCTTTGGGAAGAAATTACTTTGTACGCACCATCTGTGTGTGATATGAGTTATGTACATGGGGTTATAATGCCATCGTTGGGGTTTGCAAACATTGTCATAGACTACGAGACTAAAGACAGGAGTTACAATCCAGGAAAGCAGATACTATGTAGCTCCCAATATTCCGGGACAGGAGCGGAGGAGACCCCCAAGCTCCTCTCCCAATAGGTCCTTAAAAGAAAAGGGGCATCATTTATGGTGATAGCAGATAGTAGAAGGTAAAATTACATTGTAAAATAACGAATGTAAAAGAAAGGGACAATACAACAGCAACAACAATTTTAGCAAAAGCCACATGTAACTTCCTGGGCCACTCAAAGCAATGACACATCATAACTTTTACAGTGAAAACTCTGTATTGGGAATAAGAACAATTCTCCCATGTAGTACATCAGGCAGTATCTACGAGTAGCTAGAGCAGTGCGTCCCAATTTAATTCTGCATTTATTTAATAAACAGCTATACTCTCTCTCTCTCTCTCTCTCTCTCTCTCTCTCTCTATATATATATATATATATATATATAAATATAATATGTAAAGACGACTTCAATAATGCAGAAAATAAACGAGTGAATTTGTGGTCAGGGTGTTAAGGCCCAGCATTAACACAGGAAATGTGAGGACAGTCTAACAGGCCGTACACATCAGCAAAAAAAAAAAAAAAATCAATAAAATAAGTAATTCAGATGGTTATGTTGAAGAACAAACATTTAAAAAGTAAAAATGTACAGTATATAAATATATAAAATGTATAGTATATAATATATCAATGTACAGTATATTAATGTATAGTATATAAATGTATAAAATGTATAGTATATAAATATATAAAATGTATAGTATATAGTATATAAATGTATAGTATATAGTATATTAATGTATAGTATATTAATGTATAGTATATAAATATATAAAAATTTATAATATATAGTATATTAATGTATAGTATATTAATGTATAGTATATAAATATATAAAATGTATAGTATATAAAGGGAAATTTATTCCTACTTACCGTAATTTTCTTTTCCTGGTCATAGGCCATGGCAGCACAACAATGGGTAGCTCCTCCCTATCCCTAACCAGACAGGAACCAGATTTCCGAGCATGCGCGGTAATGGCATGGCGCGACCATTAGACTAGCACCTGCGTATTCTCTGGGATTAAACGCAGAGGACAAAAAACGGAATGTGCCCAAAAGTAAGAATGGAAACTTAGGGACTTATAATAAAACAAGTCGAAAGGCTGAGATAGAGGAACAGAACAGCGAATAGCCTATTACCAAGTACAGAGACATATAAATGGGATAATACATTTAGTGAATACATAAAACCAACATAGAGGCATATAATAATGAAATTAAAAAACACGTAAAATAAGTGAACACAGCAGCTGTATTAAAAGGCACTAGAAACAATTATTGAAAAGTCAGCCCTGCAGTGGAATTGAACCAGTGAGCCCCAAGTGACAAACAGATTCTGCTGATGAAGTATTAGCCCACTGAGCTAGAGGCCTAGAAATAAGTGAATCTGTGGTGGAATCTCGGTAAAAATAAATTTAGTAGGCCGAGATTACCACGTGGCATGTGTACGTGCATATGCTGACGTATCGATCAGTTGGTTGCACGAGGCAAGATACGATCAGTAGTGTACGGAGCATGTGCAAGAATACAGGATGTAGTATTCCCCTCCTCCATTGTGCTGGACAAGCCATGCGGTCAAGCAGGAAGTTAATTCTTATTTGTAATGATTGGTCAAGAGAATGTGCGGGTGGAGCTTAATATGGGAGGAGTTATGTGCCTATATAGGGAGCCTGCACTATTGTTCAGGGCTCAGAACTTGCTGTATTTTTGGTGACATTAGTCCCTCTGAGTCCCGATCGGTGATCCAATAAAGAATCTCTTCCTTCCTGAAGAAACCTGTGTCCATCCCTCTGTGCTTTGCTTCCGTCAGTTTCTCCGGTATCATTTGGTGCATTGGCCGGGAAGCTCATCGTTCAACGGTAGCTGAGAGGCAGAGGCGTGAGACGGTCTATCTTTGCCCACGTTCTCTACGGCTGCACCCCTGAACTTCTGCGTGGACCTCCCTTCGTCTCGGCGCCACTGGTCTGTTGTCCAGGAGATCATCGGCCTCTACGTAAGAAGTGCTGGGGTGTCCCCGTCGATGAGTGTGAACTCAGGTTCAGGAACGAGGAGGTAAGACAACTGCTGTTTTAGACGGCAGACCCACTAGGGGTATACCGATTGTGCGGTAGGCCCAAAAGGGGTTTAAATCTGTGTATGGAATCTGCCCCCTCTGTCGGAGGGAAGGAGCGAAGGCGCACCGCTCGATCGAACGCTCTTTAGTAAGACCGTTTGATCTGGTTAGTCAGGCGGGGTCCTGTGTAAATAGCCCTAGCCGGACACCGGTGTCTTGTCTAGACTAGCGTTCTAGGGTGTATATTACGTTCGCTAGGTCGGAGGGACCGGGAGACTAAGCGGCGCCTGTGTAAATTCGGTTCGCTAGCTCTCAACCTATCTTGGCTAAGTGGGAAGGCGTGTAAATTTGGAACCCACTAGACTTTTGATAGAGTAAATAGACTAGAAGGGCAATTTTGTAAATTTCGCCCTCTAGTTCGCTATATGTGGTGTTTGGGCAGTGTGGCTAACCAAAACGGGTGTATATAGTTTTAGGTAGTCCATTCAAGGTACTGGCCAATAGTTTAGTTGGGATTGTAAATGTGTTAAAGATTGTTAGTAAAGTGTATATCTTGTTAGATAGCGCGAGCTCAGCCGTCTAGCGAGAGTGTTAATAGTGTGTTGCTGTATCATAGTGCACGGTACCATAACCCTGTATATTTACTGACACTGTATATAAGTACTAATCATTGTCGTCTATTGCATGTTTAACACCATAACCACTAATAATTGTATTGTGACCTTAAATTGTGCTTTGACCTATGCTAACCGTACTGTAACCGATACTAGTAAAAGACGATGTTACTGGGGTGTGTTATAGACGGGTAATTCATATATAGAGAATTATAGCGTGGGTGACTGTATAGTTTCGCCAAAGGGCATAATATTGATTATTTAGTGACTGGTGTAACAGCTGTGTGTGTACGGGAATTCCCTGAGTGATTATTGTGTTATTGTGTACGTTTCACTCGGTAACTGTACCACGTGGTGCTGTTGCCAGAGGAAACGGGTGTGACTGTTGAATAAGAACGCGTGCATAGTATTCGTTGTCAACGACGTTCCATTGATAAGTATGGGCGCGTCAGAGTCAACGATTTCGGATCCCTTAGGTTGTATGGTAAAGAATTTTAAAAAGGGATTCAAAACATGTGATTTTGGGGTTAAAATGTCTCCTGTACGTTTGGTCACTTTGTGCACTAGGGAGTGGCCTATTTTGGTTGCGGCATGGCCGCCGCGTGGCAGTTTGGATCCAACCCTGGTACAGCGTGTACACGTGGCTGTATCAGGTAGGCCTGAACTTTACGGACAGTTTCCATACATTGATTGTTGGAGGCAGGCCGTAAACGACTCGCCAAAATGGATCCGGATATGCCACGAGGAGCAATGTCGCCTCATGGTGGCCAGGACTTATTTGTCCACTAGGACCGGTGTTAGGCCCATTTTGGACACGCCCCCTGAGTCCGAGATCCCTTTGCCGCCCCCTTACTTCCCTTTAAGAGGAAGTGACGCGAATGCAGGAAGTTCTGCACCCCTTCCCCTATTGCCCCCATCCACTTCCGCTTCCTCCTCCAGTACAGAATCCACCCCCCCTCGTATTAAAACTCCCCTTCCGGAACCAGGACCAACCCCCATTAGATCTGAATATCCTGATTTGGCGCCACTTCAAACTTCCGGTCAAGCTTCTTCTAGCTCGGCTCGGAGTATACTATTCACTAATTTTTCACAAAATCAAGTTCCCACATCCTCATGCCCTATTACCTCTCAACCGGAACCTTTAACTGACGCCCCTCCACGTAGTCCCATACTAACCCGACAACTGACCGGTACCCAACAATTAAAACATTACCAGATGCCTCTTCGTCTGAATCCTGGGTCAGCCTATATCGATGCCGCAGGTCAAATGGCACATGCTGACCCAGTCTTCGTATATGTCCCGTTCACGACTACCGATCTCTTGAATTGGAAGACCCACAATTCCTCGTACACTGAGAAACCACAAGCTATGACCGATCTGTTCACCTCGATAGTTCAGACACATAACCCGACATGGGCTGATTGCCAGCAGTTATTAATGACATTGTTCAATAATGAGGAAAGGACAAGGATTAACCAAGCGGCCATTAAGGCGCTAGAGGAGAGAGCCCGTGCTTTAAATCAAGCCAATCCGGCAGCATGGGCCGCAACACATTACCCTAACACCGATCCTGACTGGAATGTAAATGGCGCAGATATGGCTCAACTTAAAGCCTATAGAGATGCTATAATTGCTGGCATGAAAGCCGGAGGGAAGAAAGCTATTAACATGTCGAAGACAGTTGAGGTGATTCAGAAAAGTGATGAAGCGCCCAGTGTCTTTTATGACCGATTATTGGAGGCATACCGCTTGTATACCCCCTTTAATCCGGAAGACGCTGATAATTCCCGAATGGTAAACTCCGCCTTTGTCAGCCAAGCTTACGGAGATATTAAGCGCAAGCTACAGAAATTAGAAGGGTTTGCAGGTATGTCTATCACCCAACCAATGGAGGTAGCGAACAAAGTATATATGAATAGGGAAACAGAAAGTAAGAAAGAGGAAGAGCGCAAGATGCGTAGAAAGGCAGATATGCTAGCGGTAGCGATCGCAGGCGTAGATAGACGGGGCCCAGATAGAGGCGATGGTAGATGGAATAGGGAGCCTTTGAGTAGGAATCAGTGCGCGTACTGTAAGGAAGAAGGGCATTGGAGGAACGAGTGTCCGCAAAGAGAGCAGTATGAGAGAGACTTACCCAGGGCAGGTTACGGAAACTTTAGAGGCAGAGCGAGAGGTAGAGGAGGCCCCGGAGGGAGTAATGGTAATAGAGGGAGTAATGGGAACAGAGGAAGTGTAAGGGAAGATAGGTACTATCCAGCAGCGCAAAGGTCCCGCGATAGAGAAGGTAGGGACTTTGTGGGATTGGCTGACACGGTCATGGAGGACTATTGATACCGACCGGGCTCCATCCCCCTTGGTCGAGCGGAGCCTATGGTCGATGTATCAATAGGGGGAAAAAGGAGTGCGTTCATGATCGACACTGGTGCTGAACATTCGGTGGTGACTAATCAAGTTGCTCCTCCATCTGGAAGAACTATTACTGTAATAGGAGCAACTGGAAGAAGTGCTGAAAAACCGGTTCTTAAAAGTCGACTCTGTACATTGGGAGGCCACGTAGTAAAACATCAATTCCTTTATATGCCTGAGTGTCCAGTCCAATTGCTGGGACGTGATATGCTATCCAAATTACAAGCGCAGATTACGTTCCTACCAAATGGAACAACATCCTTAAAGTTTAATGGACCCTCAGGTATTATGACATTGTCCGTACCAAAGGAAGAAGAGTGGCGACTTTATACAGTGTTGACTAGCCAAAACCCGAGGAGTGATGAATCCTTATTTAACATACCAGGAGTTTGGGCAGAGAACAACCCACCAGGACTGGCCCGCAATATTCCACCTATTAAAATCGAACTAAAACTTGGGGTTTATCCAGTAAGCCTGAGACAATATCATATTCCGCAGAAGGCTAAGAAGAACATCCAATCTTATCTGGATAAGTTCATACGGTATGGTATCCTAAAATTCTGTACTTCCCCCTGGAACACCCCATTGCTGCCTGTTCAAAAGCCCGGTACAGATGAGTATCGACCTGTGCAGGACTTGAGAGCAGTCAATGATGCGGTTGTTAGTATACATCCAGTCGTGCCCAATCCATATAACCCGCTTGCTTTAATTCCGGGCGGGGCTACTTACTTTACAGTTTTAGATCTCAAAGATGCCTTCTTTTGCCTCCGAATTGCCGCAGAAAGCCAATGTATCTTCGCTTTCCAATGGGAAAATGCTGTAACGGGCTCGAAACGCCAAATGA